TGGTTTGCTGTGTCAAGCCTGGTAATCACTGGTTTGCCTGTATCAAGCCCGGTAATCACTGGTTTGCCTGTGGTGTCAAGCCTGGTAATCACTGGTTTGCTGTGTCAAGCCTGGTAATCACTGGTTTGCCTGTGTCAAGCCTGGTAATCACTGGTTTGCTGTGTCAAGGTAATAACCTGGTAATCACTGGTTTGCTGTGTCAAGCCTGGTAATCACTGGTTTGCCTGTATCAAGCCAAAGTAATCACTGGTTTGCCTGTGGTGTCAAGCCTGATAATAACTGGTTTGCTGTGTAATCACTGGTATGCTGTGTCAAGCCTGGTAATCACTGGTTTGCCTGTATCAAGCCTGGTAATCACTGGTTTGCTGTGTGGTAATCAAGCCTGGTAATCACTGGTTTGCTGTGTCAAGCCTGGTAATCACTGGTTTGCTTTGCCTGGTAATCACTGGTGCCTGTATCAAGCCCGGTAATCACTGGTTTGCCTGTGGTGTCAAGCCTGATAATTAATAACTGGTTTGCTGTGTCAAGCCTGGTAATCACCGGTTTGCCTGGTAATCACTGGTTTGCCTGGTGTCAAGCCTGGTAATCACTGGTTTGCCTGTGCCAAGCCTGGTAATCACTGGTTTGCTGTGTCAAGCCTGGTAATCACTGGTTTGCCTATGGTATCAAGCCTGGTAATCCAGCCTGATAATAACTGGTTTGCTGTGTGCCTGGTAATCACAAGCCTGGTAATCACTGGTTTGCCTGTATCAAGCCCGGTAATCACTGGTTTGCCTGTGGTGTCAAGCCTGATAATTAATAACTGGTTTGCTGTGTCAAGCCTGGTAATCACCGGTTTGCCTGTATCAAGCCCAGTAATCACTGGTTTGCCTGTGGTGTCAAGCCTGATAATAACTGGTTTGCTGTGTCAAGCCTGGTAATCACTGGTTTGCTGTGTCAAGCCTGGTAATCATTGGTTTGCTGTGTCAAGCCTGGTAATCATTGGTTTGCCTGTGTCAAGCCCAGTCATCACTGGTTTGCCTGTGGTGTCAAGCCTGATAATAACTGGTTTGCTGTGTCAAGCCTGATAATCACTGGTTTGCTGTATCAAGCCTGATATTCACTGGTTTGCTGTGTCAAGCCTGGTAATCACTGGTTTGCCTGTATCAAGCCCGGTAATCACTGATTTGCCTGTGGTGTCAAGCCTGATAATAACTGGTTTGCTGTGTCAAGCCTGGTAATCACTGGTTTGCCTGTATCAAGCCCAGTAATCACTGGTTTGCCTGTGGTGTCAAGCCTGATAATAACTGGTTTGCTGTGTCAAGCCTGGTAATCACTGGTTTGCTGTGTCAAGCCTGGTAATCACTGGTTTGCCTGTGTCAAGCCCAGTCATCACTGGTTTGCCTGTGGTGTCAAGCCTGATAATAACTGGTTTGCTGTGTCAAGCCTGATAATCACTGGTTTGCTGTATCAAGCCTGATATTCACTGGTTTTCTGTGTCAAGCCTGATAATAACTGGTTTGCTGTGTCAAGCCTGGTACTCTCTGGTTTGCTGTGTCAAGCCTGGTACTCTGTGGTTTCCTTCGTCAGGCCTGGTAATCACTGATTTGCTCTATCAAACCTGGTAATCACTGGTTTGCTGTGTCAAGCCTGGTAATCACTGGTTCGCTGTGTCAAGCCCGGTAATCACTGGTTTGCCTGTGTCAAGCCTAGTTATCTCTGGTTTGCTGTGTCAGCCTGATAATAACTGGCTTGCTGTGTCAGACCTGATAATAACTGGTTTGCTGTGTCAGACCTGATGATCTCTGGTTTACATGCTTCAAGATGATAATAACTGGTTTGTCTGCTTCAAATATGATGACAAATTGGATCATCTGTCATCATCAGGGAGTATGACTCTAAGGTGAATCAAACATTTGATTAAGACCAGAATCACTTCAAGGCTTTATTACCACATTAAACACTGTCAACCTCACCCACTCATCGTTATCTTGATGTTTTCTACATTTTCTCTACTTTTACATTCCATATAAAGCAAACATAAATAATTGTTTAGAAAATGTTTGTTTGTGTAACAACTTTATCAGTTGGTAGCCAAACAATATTGATTATGTAGAGACATTATTTGTGTGAGTGAAGCAGGAGACATGGGCTTTATATGCATCTAACAGCTTGCGGCTGATTGGCAATACCAGTGAGCAACATCAGTTGACAATAAGTGATTACAGTAGATGCTATCTCAGCTGTATCCTGGGTAGCTGTTTCATTAGACAGTTCTGTAAACAGCATGGATGCTCACCTTGACAGGTAATTAGGGGTGGGTATTGCAGAGAATTTTCATATTGCGATATATTGCGATGCGAAAGCATATATGTATTGCAATATATTGCAAGAAGTTATTTTTAACAAAAACCTACTTATTATCGAGTTAATGCTTGATTTATAAAGCAAAAAACACAACAAAATCACTATGCTTGATTAGGCTGTAATAAAACTTTTAATCATGACAAAATAGAAATGTAAATAATGTTTGGCACAAATGAAGCAAGGAAAGGAACAATTTAAAAAACGGATATATCCGTAGATTTATGAATGTTACGAAGTTTTCCAAATGCATGTCAAAATACTGGTTTTTCAATCAGCGTATCGCAATAAGTATCGTTTTCATGCATGAACCAGTAAATACCAGTAAACTGGTTATATTGCGCAGCCCTACAGGTCACTGGTTCAGTTTTAAGAACAGAAGCCATGGCAACATAATTTTGTTCACCAAAACATTTATATAAAAATTAAATATATTTAAATCTGTTTGTTTTGTTGATAACAGGAATGTAGGTTTCGAGTTTGGATAATTCTGTATGTGAGGATGTTACAATCGAGTGAGACTCAGAACCCAATGCAGCAATCTTTGTGATTATGTATTAGCATGCTTAGTGCACCATATTGATTTGAAGTTGTGTTAGAGAAAGATTTACGGGACAGATCATTTATTATTTGAGAGAAGGGACCTGTGAGATTAAGTGATGTGTCATATGTCGTACAAAATGACAGTAAGATGACTCTCCCCGCATCCCATCAATCCTGTGATAAATGATATCTACAGTATAGTGTCTTAGTCAACCAGGTAAATACAATTCCTTAACGTTACACAGGGGAGCCAGAGATGTCGATTAACACCTGACTTTCACGTTGTGTGAGTTCGTTGATGTATGAACCTTTATTATATGAGGGACAAAGTGAAGCAGCTTCAGTGTCCTGTACGTTCAGTTGACGAGTTAAATGTCATATAAACTTTACCTAAGAAAATTATGAGCTGATGAATAAAAAAATGCAGTTTTGTATAATGACAACAATAAAATACACAACTCACTTCAAGCTGCTACAGTAAAATGTGAAACTGCTATTGGCATATCACTTTAGACATAGTTAACCAAATCCATACTTTCCACATTTATCAAGTCTATATGTTTTAACATAAACCCAAACAGGTGACAATGGTATAATCATTTAAACAAAACAACAATTCAATTCGTGTAGAAAGCTTCAACATTTGCAACATATTGTGACTGCATAGCTGGATTAGATGATTTATATTCTAATCCATAAACCTGACTGTGCTTGAAACATTGTTACACCAGCGATACACAACCAGCTGTTAGGCGACAAAATTAAACCAGAAAGAAAAATCACCTTTCAAATGCAACAATAATATCGCTCTAATCCTTTTATGCTAATATTGAATGAAAGATAGTCCAAACAGCAGAAAAGAAGTTAAAACAGTGGTATCAAAAATTAAATTATGAAAAAGGGAATTTAAATCGGGAAGCCCTTCAATTGCTTTTTAGTTCCAACTAAACTGAGAGGAGACAGGTGTTGCCTGTAATCACTACAGCTTGGCTTTGATGAAAGCTGCTAACACAGTATTAAATCATTTAGCAAATATTAATAGGGCACAGGTGGCCTGTATAGTTGATAACCTTGAATATCACTGGCTAATATCTTTGGCAAAATGGAATAATTTCCCATGGATCTCTCCGGGGATCTGAACATTATCAGCATTAAACTTATCGGGTTCTGATAAGGGTTTCATTGATGAAGTGATCAGAGAACTAGCTTGTCTCCAAACTTAAAAGCTTTAAACACTCACTGAGTCTTGTAACCTTTATACCTGTTTAAATATTAATATAAAAACTATACTTGAGAGGGTCTTTCTGAAACGAAATATGAAAAAGCAGAAAGTAAAAGAATACTCAGAATGAAGTTAGCAGGTGCTAATGGATGAGTGTGTTCAAGTGATATGTATGTTTGTTTAACCTGATTGTCAGTGAGGTTTATATAGTGTGTTACGTTGAAATCAGAATGCATGTCAGTGATTCCTCTTTTTTGTTTTTTTATTTTATTATTTTCATGTTGTTTTTCAATTGCTCCATGTAATACTTTTTGTAAACAAACATGTAGTCGCATAAATAAAACTAAGTATAAGATAAAAAACTAAAAATAAAAGAACCATTAGGCCAGTTAATCTCAGAGATGACAGGGGTGGAAATAACTTTAAAATTGCTAGTGTACTCCGGTACAGTGGCACATGTAAAATCACTTGCCCTGATAATTTTTCCACTATACCGGCCGTTTTCTTGTTGATTTTTTAAATAAACAACATAATTAATATTGGAAAGTCAACTGGACACTGGTACAGTGTGATATACAAATTTGCTTGCCCGACAGAAAAAAACCACTAGACTCGGGCGTCGGGCAATGGGTTATTTCCACCCCTGGATGAAACAGGGGATGAGTATATGCTGGTAGTGCTAAAAAGGGCAGAATATGAAAAGAGGTAATTGTTCTCCATCAAATAGACTAAACTGCTAACAGTGATACTATCATATACTCTAACCACTGACCTGGTGAGTTACTAGCCATCTTTCATCTTCTTTCTGATTTGTCCATGTGGTTGTAAAATTGTTTCTGATTGGTTGATATTGTTGTAAGCTTGTCTCTGATTGGTGGATGTTTGGTTTCAGCATCAGCAGCAGGTGGCAGCAGCAGTTGAGAGAGCCAAACAGGTGACAATGCAGGAACTTAACGCAATTATTGGGGTGGGTAACCTCGATTATTGTGTTCACATTTATTAGTTAGTTGCAAAGAGCTTTATGTTCTGCAATATTTGTTTTTCTTGTCAAACAAGACAGCTCATATTTATGTATAGTTATGTTTATTTGTTATGTTTATAGATATGAACAATTACTAAACAATTATTGCATCCTAATTCCTAGTTTATAGAACAGTAACAAATGCAATTTGTAGCTGTCTAGATCAATTGAGTGTTTTGACTCAGTCACTTGGATGATTAAACATCATCATCCATGACTTCATGGGATACACTCATGATATCAACCACTGTGTCTGCTCCAGGCTTGTTTATACACCAGCAGCCTTGGCATGACTGTGTGGCTAACTGCTAAACAACAAATAAGACATTTCTTTTTTAAATTGTTTTATTCAAATTGTGAGAGTGGTGGTGATGACTGTAATGGAGGTCATTGTTGCCATTTTTGTGGACACCTGGTGTTATTTTGGATCCATTTTGACAGACAATCAATGACTTCTATTGACTTCTCTGTGGCTAATAATGTCTGATTCATTGCAGAAGATATAGGTTGTTCACTGGTCACGAGCGGGACATGGGTTGATGTACATAAACAAACACAGAGGGTACATCAACCCATGGGCCCCGAGGGACCAATGAACACTGTATTTATCTTACCGAACACCTCAATGTTACTTTTGAACTGTTTGAAGCACGGGTATCGGATCATGATGAGGAGTAACAGAGTTAGGCAATTAGCCAATACCAACAATCGCTAGATTTTCAGATGACATAGAATCTAGCAGAAAACATAGCAAGAAAACAAATTTAGAGTTATCTCCCTTGCATTGTTTTGCATTTGCAAAACATCGGTAATGTCCGTGCATCCTATGTGACTCAATTATTCGAGATACAGAATTACTAACAAGAAGTACCAACGGAATTCCCACAGTTTGGCATTCCCAATGGGTACCATAGAAAATGTTACTTGCTTGTAAGCGGGATACATTGAAAATAGTAGAAGAGTGCTCAGCCAATCAGAAAACATTGTTTATGTGTGAGATAAGAAAATCTCCCCTGAAATACTGTCCACATTTCCATGGCATTTATATAATGTCATTTCAACATCCTAAAAGGTAGTTACTTGCAATGTGCTTGCACATCAATTGCTGTCATTTGTGTTAGTTTTACTGTGTTCAGAGCTCAGAGGTGATGAGTATTAAAAAATTATTTTTACCATTATGGTTTTATGAACTGACTGACTGAGTATGGTTTTATGCCACTTTTAGCAATATTCCAGCAATATCATGGCTGGAAGCACCAGAAATAGGCTTCACACATTGTACCCAATTGGGGGAATCGAACCCAGGTCTTCAGCGTGACAAGCGGACGCTTTAACCACTAGGCTACCCTATCGCCCCTCTTGTAAACGAGTAAAATGTAACACAGATAGGAATGTCAATCTGAAGTACCAACTATACATGGCTTCCACTTGAGATATTTCTTGGAGCAAGCAATAATTCCTATGAGATATTGCTACAAAGAAACAGCATCACAATACCTTGCAGACTATTGTGATATCGCTGATTACTGTGATGTCACAATGAAATAACAGTCATAATCAACTGAAGCTGATAAAAATTTATTTTGGTGGTTTTTTTATTTTCTAAACTAAGAATATAATACCCTTCTGAGAAAATTGTGTGTGTATAACTTAAGGCAAGCCTAAGCTGTTTGCTGGCAGTAACACTTAGGAACAGGCAGCAACTGAGATCTGTCTGTACACTTAATAAAGGTAAAGCAACCTAAAGTCATCCAGGAACCAGTCTATTCTGCTTGGTATCTGCTTTTGATGAATAATAATACAGTTTATTTGTAGAACGCTAAACTCCAGGCGCTCAAAGCGCTACAAATTTGTTTAGCAGGAATATGCTTTCCTTGAACAGAAATGTTTTGACATTGGACTTGAAAGAGTCTAAGTAGGTGACAGTGTGAGGTGAGGTGAGGTGAACTTTGGTTTAATGTCGCGCTGGAGAATATTACACGCATATCACGACGTGCATGCGTGTGTCATGACGTGCATGCGTGTGTCATTGGTATGACGTGGTCGGGGATCGAACCCGCGACCTTCCGCTCTCCGGGCGGACGCTGACAGTGTGATATCTCTGTATTTAACATGTGACTCTGTGTATATCACAGGTAATATTTAGCTATGAAAGTGCTTACATCAAAGCAATCGCAGCTTGTCATCATACAAAAAACCCCAAACATTTCATGTGTGAAAAACAATATGCTATGGTGGCAATGTTTTATATATAGCTTTAGATTCAAACAAACATGCCCCAAATACCCATTTGTGTAAGATATATTAAAATATCTGAAAAAATTTTTATTGCTAAATTGATTTGGCTAATATTCCAATTTCTATGCAGAAAAGCAATATTTTCCTATTTCAGTGTTAACTGTACTGTTGATATTTGCTGAACAAAGCCATCCTTCTGGGGCCTGTTTTCAAACCAGTTTTTGTGACAGACAGCTCTATGATAACAAAGGAACAAATCACTTGGACAAAATAGTCAGCGTTGAGATGAGGCTAGGGAAGCGTGATGCAAAACACACACACATACATACCATGTTTATGCTAGATCTACTTCCAACAATCCACGACACAGCTGGTGGAAACACGACACAATGAGTTGTGTTTGATGCATTTTTTCATATAATTCATATACAGTTTTGAAAACCAATGTGTTTAGACCAGAACAAACATTAATGTGTAAGGTTTCAGGACTTATAACATGAAGTGTAGCAACCACAATATGCTTTGTTGTGTGTGGGTGAAATTAGAAAAATAATTTTTTTGGGAAATAAATATTTTTCAGAGGTTACCATGACATTTGATGAAAGAATTATTGATGGTTGAAAAGTGATGTTATTTTGTGGGGTGAGTAAACACACATGTTACTGATGGATGTTGTGTTTGGTGTTTCAGCAACAGATGCAGGCTCAACACCTCCCCCATGCCCATGCCCCGCCCATCCCGATGCCACCCCACGCCACAGGGCTTCAGCCCCCCATACCCTCAGTGTCGGGTTCGGGTCTACTGGCACTGTCTCAGAACTCCAGTTTCGCTGCACATGCTCATAGTGTTCTCAACGCTCACAAGGAAGAAAAACGCAATGGTGAGTTGCTAAGTTCAAGAGGCCATTTTGGATTGTTTCTCGTCACCTTTTAGGAATACTGACTGGGATGGAGGATTATTTTTCTTTAATTAGAAAGGGCTGGGTGGGGAGGAAGGGTGGACAATTTTAACAGTTTTCTAAATTAATGAATGATTTCCCTGGGATCAGTCATTTAACTGACAAATTTACATCTTGCAAATTTCTTTACTTACAAAGACTACATTGTGCTTCCAATATATGAGCAATTGTTTATGAAGGGGAAATGTTATGGATGTCAGCTACTGTGATATAAGGAAGACAGTGGTTCAGGGTATATTTTACTCTCCAACGTCGTGTTGCTCATAATACAGACATTGACATCCATAAAATTTCCTCTTTATGAGCATCAGTTCCAAATGTTGTTCAAAGATTTTAAATGTTTATGATTGAGAGATCACTCATTGGCTGTTGTGTTCCTTTTCATATTGCTCCTGAATAGAAGAAGAAGAGAAACATGTAAGTATCAATTTCTGAGTAAACAACAACCACATCTGAAAACATTTCACAGATGCCAATTTGAATTTGATGATTTAAGATAGGTCTTACAATGTCAACATATTGTGGATCCTGTGATTATTGTTGTATATAGTTATAATGGAAAAATGAAGGATTGTAGTTGTGATAATGCATGTACCCTGTTGTCATGGTGACATTGAATATACCCTGTTGTCATGGTGATATTGAATATACCCTGTTGTCATGGTGATATTGAATATACCCTGTTGTCATGGTGACATTGAATATACCCTGTTGTCATGGTGATATTGAATATACCCTGTTGTCATGGTGATATTGAATATACCCTGTTGTCATGGTGACATTGAATATACCCTGTTGTCATTGTGATATAACATACCCTCTTGACAGAATATAAACTATATAGATCTGTCCTCGCTGACCATGTTTGTCACAAGAGGCTTACTTTACAGGATCGGGATCGACTTGGTCTGGTCAGACTTGCTAAGACCAAGTTGGTTAATGTATATGATACGAATCTTAGCTTAAGAGAGCTCAAAAATCTAGGCCCAGGTTGTTGCATGTGATCGAATCCCAGCTGCCTAGATAGACCCTGAAGTACTGGTTTGTGTGGTCCAGACTTTGTTATATACAGAAATACAGCTTGCATGTTGTCAGTACAGCATCAAACAACAGGTTATGTAGTTCTAATGGTGGAGAGCCTTTTATGATAAATGCGGTAGTGGGCATGTGAGAAATTTAATTCCAAATCAATAGTGACATACATGAATGACCTCACCTATAAACACACCGTTTCAAAGGGAAACTTAAGGAAGCTATTATCGAGTACGGGCGCAAGTAAATTATTAATTTAGAACAGGATGGAGGATGCCGTCTTAAATCAGAACTGGAGAAGATGAGCTCTACTAAACGGAATTCACCGGGAAGAGGATCTAATGCGCCTTGTATTTAGTGCTCTATAAGTGATTACTTTATATGCCGTCCTTTAAAAAAAATGTTTCCTGTAATAATTGAGTATCTTACGAGCAGGTTAGTGGTGGAATGAATTTCTATTGATTTGGTTGCACAATAACTTCAAAAACCATGTCGACAATTTCACGTATGACATTAAAGCTTGGATCAGAGAACACTGAAATAAACGTGTATGGAACTATGTTTATCCCCTGACTGTGAGTGTGATATTGTACAATGTACATTGTTTTTAATGCTTACATTTGCGAGCGACATTATGCACACTATTGATTGTGTATTTGTCACCCTGCTCAAATAACGTTAAACCATCTGCATGTACTAAAGTCAGAAATTAGTTTGCCCTCTGGGGAACATTATTTTGTTGCAATGCAAATACGAGAGGCATTTTAAATAAAACTTGCCCAATTTCTCCCTTGTGTCTTTGTTGAGCTTATGTGTAGTGCAGGCTGAGAGTGTGAAGAGTAAATATAAGCTGCTGCAGAGTGTTGGTTTTAGATATTAACTGTTTACACAGCCATAGCTTAGACAATATTTGATGTCTGTGGGTTGCGATTTGCCGACTGCGACATTGTTCGACAAAACCTGAATGCAGGGGGCGCTTAGTAAACACAGGGTTCGCCTCTGTACACATGGGGATGTTTGTTCACAAGGGGACAAAAGATTACTCTCGTTTCACTGCGAAATGAGTTTACTTCTATAGATTGGAGTAACATGTTTGCATTGAGTAAATATTCCATTTGGGTTTCAAATTCCCTGGATTTACCCATCGGATCTGTATAAACAGAAAGACAAGGGTATCCTTCTCAAAAAGCAAATGCCTTTATTTAGGGATAACCTTTTGTAGATTATTTACTTAATGTCTGCGGTAAGTTTCATATAAGAACTTGACAACCTGTCTCTGCAATCGGCAAATAAATGTCAGTAATATATTCTAAGCCTTCAGGTTTAAGTGACTCAATGTTACCATTCGTCATTCATTAATAATATAAACATGGAAATTGAAAGAGTTGTGTATGAATACATAACCACTCAAAAAGTAGTCCAGTTTGTTCAAATTACATCCATTAACACTCATAACTCTTATCAGTGCCGAACATCATGGCTATTAGCGTGCCTTCATTAATTGCACGTAATCTAACCCTGTGAGGAGCTTTGCTTTTCTGTGTGGCTTCTCGCAGGGAAGTGAGAATACCATAGCTTTGAAAGTCCATTCTTCATCTATCATTCGCTAATTGGCTGGCTTTTTGTCTCTTGTTCTTCCGCCCGCACCACACGTTTACCCGCAAAGATTAGAAATTCTCGGAGGTGTGCTTTGCCGATAAGCTTGTCCTTTCTTTCTCCGATTTCTTTGTCTGAGTAGAGATTGAAAATGAATCGGCAAGATTGATTCTCTTTAGATGGAGACTGAAGTCCAAGTAATGCCAACGCCAAGCTCAGGATCAATGAAATCCTAGTGTAAATAAAACCGCTATGATGCATTTATACAGGGGGGAGGAACACTGAGGAATTACAATATTTCAAGGCATCGTTGTTTGTACAATGAACGACCATATTTACTTTAAGGTCCTGCTGTTTGTGTAGACCCAGGGAGAGCTCTGGTGTAGTATGGCCAGCAGCTATTTTTCTTAACCCATCAATTAGACGGATCAGTAACTAGGGGAATATTTGTTTGCCTTTGATTGGGAGATTTGTGATTAAATAAGGAAAAATGTACAGATGATCTAAATCCTGAGGATATTGAATTATCTGTAGGATGATATGTGATAGGAAATTGTGACAAGTGCTGTTATCATATGTGACAAATGCTAGGGTCACAGCTTGGCATCATGTGCTTGTTGGCGAATGAAGGTCATGACTTGTGTGACCAACTTTCTGGTGATGTAACATTCATCATATCAATACATTATTCTTATAACTATTTTTTAAACAAGAATTTTTATTGTGTTTCACTTAGTACATAAACTTATAATATTCAGTAAATAAAACTAAAAATTTAAAAAAACAACAACTCATTTTTCATTTTCTTAATTGTTGAAATTATTCTAATGGTAGCGACAGAACCACGCATTGTATATTGTAAATATAATTTTAATCTTTATAAGTAAAGCGAATCATTATTCAGATATTCATGAATTATATTTAGACAACTACTTATTCATCTATTGTTTCAATCCCTCATTCCCCAAGTGACTGATTAATACATATCTATTCGTGTGACAGGGAACTCTGGATTTTAGTGCAAGTGACCAGCAAGCCACAACCATCCTCATCATAATAGCTTTCATTCATAATTATTCCATTATCTAATGATGTTTCCTGTGTTTGATGCAAAATGTCGCCATCACATTTCCATATTTTTTTAAGTACATCAAAGCAAGCTATTTCTAATTATGCTGCAGACAATTGTATGTGTTAAGTTTTTTGGCACAGTTGATAAATGTCCATACTTTTTATGATATGACCTCTTATTGTAATAGAGCACAAACAGAATTTTATGTGAAGTGATGTGTCTATTTCTCAAATCAGACATGACAACACTGGGCTGAAATAAGATGCTTAAGCGTGAAGAAGTTGTTTCGATGCTTGAACAGTATTTCAGTTCTAACAAGCCGTATTGTGTGATTAAAGAGATCTTGTAGGCCAGTTTTCTAGGTGCTGCAATTCTTTGCATATGCCATGACCCAGTGACGATGAGTTCGAATCTGTCTGTAATAATGAACCATGGTTTGTTAGTACCATATCTGGCTTGTGGGTTTCAGCAAGGTGACAAATGATACTCTGGGCTTTCCTCCCATATTAAACAGACATACAGCCCAATGTAATATACTGTGTAATGTATGTATGTAATATACTCCATCACTAAGTCATTTACTCACTCACCAACTAGTGACCAACAGCAGGAGTAGATCGATGCTCATGTTGTTGATCACAGTATTGTCTGGTCCAGAGTCAATTATATATACACACCGCCAACATGTAAATTAGCTGGAATATTGCTGAGTGTGGCGTTAAACAACAAATCAAATATAATTTCTAACATAGTATTTCTTCCAGTGTTTTTTTTTTTCTGGTGTTGGACCAGACAACAAATATTTTAATTTAATGTGTATTTCTGAGCATTTCAGTTTTTTGCAATACTGTTACCACAAATGTTACAATTTCTAGAAGCCAAAAGAGTCATTGACCTATTCACATTATACAGTGCCCAGTCCTCTGCCCCTGAAGCAGCTTGAGTCTTTATTACAGTCTAGAGTGTCAGCTTCACAGTTAGAAGATATGACACCACCAAGCTTCCATACATATTAATGGCAGGTTTGTCTTTCCATAACTCCTACTCAGGCACTCATTTATCCCCTAGTAGCCATATTAACTGACTTTGTAGAGATCTGGAGACTAGCGAGTTAGCTATGTGTCAGTGAAATATCCTAGCACCGTCAATGACCCCGGAGAGCAAACACACCTGGAGTGTTGACACTCTACTTCAGCCACTCTGGAGTTCTGAAAATTTACAATGTCTTTCTTAATTTCTGTTACCATGCTATAACAAGGGGTCGATATATCCAATCAAACTCCTTCAGATTTAATATGGTCCAATGAAAACTCCCCTTGCAATGATGTACTGTTTGACATTTCTGCGTTGTGCTATTACATGTCTCTGGAAAGTTCAAGTGGTTTTGTCCCCAGCTGAGGGGATTCTATCAGGTTGTTTGGTGATTGTGTAGTTCTAGGAGCTAGCTGTTGTTTTTAGATAGAGAAGAAAGGGATTGTACTATCAGGATTATGGTTTATCATTGGCCACTGAAGAGGAAAGGTGTCAATACAGGGTCATCGATTTCCATTAGGTTACTCCATAACAGGACATTTCAAATAGTCTTGATTTGACATACATGGTTCAGAAACTTGCTTCATATATGCTTAAACACAGTTGTAGATTTTTAGCGTAAGTGTTTCGCTTTGGTCTTTAAACCAATCCCTGGTGTAAGGTCAGATAAATTATTTTTTAGTTATATTCTTTTTTTCAGTAAATATGTTTTGGATATTTTTATGACGCCAAGTTACTGCAAAATCTCTTGAAAACAAATTCAAGCAAAAGTACAATGTTCAGAATAAGCAAGTCATAATAATCATCATCATCATCATCATCATCATCCAATATCCATTTACATGTAGTTCAACATCAACAATGCAATCAATGTTGCATGATTTAATGATACTCCATGCCTTGTCCAGATATGGGAAATACTGTTTTATATATGAATAATGTTGTCGTTGGGCCCTTTTTTGTCAATAAACCATCAAAATTAAATAGCCATAATGAACTTTCCATTAGTAATGCAAGAATAGGTGAGGCCTCACCTGGGTGTACAGAGTCTGGCAGATGATTTCACACAGTTTCAATCCAACCTATGATGTTTCATTTCGAGAACTCGATATTGATTATATTGGTTATTGTTGACCTCTGATTTGAATAGTATAGCAGTTATCACTGTGTATTGCCTTGTTTGTAAGAGGATAGTCCAAAGTGGCACAGTTCTAGGAACTTTAACACATGGTGACACACTGGGTTCCAATGGCAATCCTCACCCTACATTCTGCATAATGGCATCTTTGATGACTGGCATGCAACTGTCACTTTTTATTTTGGGAACAGAATCTGTTTGCTCTAGACATTAATTTGTTTTCAAACCCTTTGTGTTTTGTAATGGTGGTTTTCAGATGTACATTTTGAAATTGGTTATCATCTTACAGGATGATTTCCACAGTGTAGGGGTGAGTCTGAGCGCGTTTAGTTTTACTCAGCCATATTCAAGCTATGTGTATTCCAGCTATCTAGGTGATGGGTAGGATATGGGTCTTTTGATCTGTGTGACTCATGGCATATACGATACAGTCAACATTGTGTCAAACTTTATGGTTGTCTTGAATTGAAAGCTTGATCCTTATTCCTTATTGACACATACCGTATTTAGTCACCATTTTGTGACTGTGTCGAACCTCGGATAACTCAAAGAATTTATGTAGGTCCTTCAACTTTGACACCATGGTCTTTTACTGTATCCATATATATATATGTGTGTGTGTGTGTGTGTGTGTGTCTGTGTCTGTGTCTGTGTCTGTTTAACCACTAGTGCATGAGCGTAGCAGATATTCCTACTAAGATGTCAGAATTTTCATTTATTTGTACTAAGGGAGGGAACTAAGAATTGTTTTTAACAAATCGATCATATAGTTGTCTTTTAACAATCTCTCTGAAGCCCACTTTTTTAGCACCTTAGATATTGAATGTATTAACTGTGATAATCAGCGGTGTCAGTGGATTTCTGGTCGATAACATGGATAATATCACATGTTTATTAATGAGGCAGTGTATTGTAATGAATGTCATAAATCTCGTATTCAATAAACACACAGATTTAATAACTGTGGGATAATGTATCATTGTTGGCACCTGTTGCAGGCTATATTGAATATATTACGTAATATACATATACATCATCATCATATTATACTGATATGACTAGGATGATAATCACAATGTAGTACACTAAAATAGGTACTGTGCAACTAGATATGGAAATGAGTGAGTTCTATTTTGCATTTGATTTAGCAATATTCCTGTCATAGCCCAGTGGTTCAAGTGTTGGCTTGTCATGCCACAGACTTTGGTTTGATTTCACAGATGGGTGTACCATTCTCCATCATGACATTGCTAAAGTGTTCCCCACTCACCCCACTCACTCACTGTACCACAGTTTCCCTGTTGGTATGGATTTGTCCTCGCTATAGTTGACAGTGGCGGATCGTGTGTGTGTGTGTGTGTGTGTGTAGCGTCAATGCGGCGCAGTGTGTGCGGTGTGTGTGTGTGTGTGTGTGTGTGTGTGTGTGTGTGTGTGTGTGTGTGTGTGTGTGTCGACCCTCCCTTTGAAAATGACTTAAGACCACATTGAAAAAAAAAATAAATTGCGTTGGCGGAGCCAAGGGGGGTTCAGGGGTTTTAACTCCCTGACGACACACACACTATGTGCTATGTGCTATGTGGGGAATCAAACCCGGGTCTTCGGTGTGACGAGTGAACGTCTTAACCACTAGGCTACCCCACCGCCCCTGGTTGAGCAGTTACAGCATATATATATCAACTGAGGTTGTCCTTGACCTCATCCTTGACCTTGGCCTTGTCTCTTGCATCCACCTGTTTCCAGTAGGAACATAAAACCCTTCACATCCCTTTCCATGGTAAACTACTTACCACAAATAAACATTGAGACCAGTATGTTCCTTTGATGATACCATTGTCTGTGATTTTATTAGGAATATATTTCATTTTACATGAGAAAGCCTTAAATGGATGAATCGTTCTCAAGAAATGCTATGCAATTGTGAAACTTACTGAAAGTATGGAAGCTGTAGATAATTTGATATCACTTTTTCGAAGTGTTATGATGACATCTTCATTTATCATCCAAAACTGTGTTCCACAGTAGATATCGCTTGTGTGAGATCAGACGATATCTCCTAGGAGATATCGTTTTGACAGTAGATTTTGTACAATGCCCTGACAATGCTATGATGTCATGAACTTGTTGACGTCACAATGTTATGACATCGCTGCACTGCAAATCTAATGGCAGTATTGTGTTCTGAGATGTACATTTTTCATTGAAAACTAATGAAGAGTGATTTTTGATGATAAATAGAATCTCACCCTCGTGTCTTCTGATATCAAATATATCAACACTCGTTGATAAAAGTAAAAATATCCTCGGCAAGCCTCGGATATTTGTTACTTTATTTAAATGGAAGCTGTAGTTAATTTGATATCTCTTTTTCGAAGTGTTATGATGACATCTTCATTTATCATCCAAAACTGTGTTCCACAGTAGATATCGCTTGTGTGAGATCAGACGATATCTCCTAAGAGATACCGTTTTGACAGTAGATTTTGTACAATGCCCTGACAATGCTATGATGTCATGAACTTGTTGACGTCACAATGTTATGACATCGCTGCACTGCAAATCTAATGGCAGTATTGTGTTCTGAGATGTACATTTTTCATTGAAAACTAATGAAGAGTGATTGTTGATGATAAATAGAATCTCACCCTCGTGTCTTCTGATATCAAATATATCAACACTCGTTTATAAAAGTAAAAATATCCTCAGCAAGCCTCGGATATTTGTTACTTTATTTAACTCGTGGTGATATATTTGATATCAAAAGACACTCGGGTGAGATTCTCTTTATAGCACAAGAAGACATCTGCAGTGTGTGAAAGTATTTAAAACTGATGTCTGTGTGGGTAGGTAAATTAGATTTGCTGTATAGAATCTGGAAAAAAGGTATATCCATTAGAAGATAAGACAACATCCTGTGGCTGAGTTGTAAAAAACCTTGAAATCAACATCGTCTAACTTCTTTTCTCTAGCAATCCTTGCACGCAAAAAGGGAAATTGAGTCTTTGAAATAGTGGGGAAAACATATTCAGTTTCTTTGCTTAATACAACATTTTGAAAAAACAGGAGTAGAATAATTTCTGTCAAAAGATTTGTTAAAAGGCACTGTGTAGTGTTCTCTCTGACGGCACACATGGCGACGTTGAGGTGACGCTGCTTGTTCTTCGGTCTTCTTAGACCTGGAATGGGGATATAACCGTTACTTTTTTCAGTCGAACATTGTCTCCAAAACAACCAAGAATAGATCTAATTGAAATGTTACATGGCACAGGAAATTAAAAATCTTTTTTTTTTTTACAGCGTTCATCCTCGTCTCCACATGATCGCAGCCGGTACCACAACCGTAGTCGTTCGCCTGAAGTTAACAATAGGGCTGCAAAAAGGAAAAGATCAGATAACAAAAATGGGGTATGATTGTCAATGTATGCTTCAAGGCCTGAGGACAAATTGAATTGTTTGAACAAGTAATATTTTAGAAGAAGAAATAGCAGGCTGCATTGTGTCAATTTCACATTAGACTAGCTCTGTAATTAATTCTAATGAAAAAAGCCCAAGGATGGAGATGCTTTACTTACAGTGATGAAGCACAACTGTTCCCTGTTCAGCTTCCTGAGCATGTTAATGTTAACTGTCACGAGCAATTTTGATGTATATGGATCTAATAGTGAGTTTTATTGAAATTGATACTGAATAACTTTGTGGATGTATTTTTTACTGGGTGAAAAAATGCCATTTTCTTGTTTTATATCTGCAGGAAAACGATGGGGAGGGAAGCGATGCAGAATTGGTCGTTGATGTCGGTGATGTAAGAACACATTTTACCAGATCAATATATGGATAAATCTCTTTAAATGTGATGTTGTGTTTAAGGAAAGATCATTAAATGCGTCTAAAAAATATTTGTTTTCCAAAATTACAGATTTCATGTTTTCTGCTTTTGATTTATGATTTCAATCATCTCAGTTTTCAATATTTCCATATTTTTTATGAACAATTTCTGTGAATAGGATTTAATAGCCCAAAAGTTGTACACTGTCTATAAATGGCAAGACAGTAGGTTGTTATAATAAACAAAAATTAGTATTATATTTTGATGTGTATTATATTTGATAGGACAACACATCTCCGATGAATGGCGACTTGTCTCCTGGAGAGAAGGCCAACAAAGACCTCCTCAACAACAACAACAACAATAATAAGAAGGTTGATGATAGAAGCAGTCCTCGTAGCGACACATCTTCCCACGGAAGTGGAACATCTACCAAACAAAAAGAGGTGACCACAACTTGTTGAGTGTGTGAGTGAATGAGTGAGTGAGGTTTTACGCCACTTTTAGCAATATATCAGTGTCACAGTTGGGGACATAAGAAATAGCCTCCACACATTGTACCCACATGGGGAATCAAACCCGGGTCTTTGACATGACCAGCAAATGCTTTAACCACTAGGCTACTCCACAGCCCCATGAAAAAGAAGTAACATGGTGGACACATGTAAGAAAGTCATGAAAACTGTTTTATAATTGTGGTCATGCTTAAAATTTCATTGGGTGGTAATGAAAGAGTGCCATAGCCTTCTGTGTGATTTTTGGTGGAGCTGATGAGGAGTGACATGGTGGAAAACGATTGTCGTGTTCTCAGAATTATGATTGTTTTGATGTGGATGTCTTATCTCATACATTACAGATTTTATAAAAGATATTCAGGATATTGTGAGAGTAATAATAATGTCTGAGATTTCCAGTGTCATAGGGTATGTTATTAAGTACAATAGATGTAGATACAGTCTCCTGAGATGTCTTGAAATAGAGTACAAGAATGAATAGTAAAAAATGTACCTATGGTATCGCAAGGCATATATCTAGAGGTGCACGGTAGCCAATATTTGGCTGAAGATTGCAACAAATGTACGTAAACATCCCTTTGTGGTACATACATAATATTTTCCTAGTACATACTAGAACTTGTATTTCGATAATAACAGGACCAGTAATGATACTATTTTGATGTCATTGTTAATGTTTTTCTTCCATGTTTGCACTTAGTTTGAAAGCCTAGATAATTCCTGATAACACAGGGGATAAGCTGGGATATAATATTTGATAGAACATTTTGTTTATATATTGTGTTTTTGAATATGAACTTGTTTTCCAGAATGACAAGGCTGCTACGCCCGTCTCCAAATCTGCCACACCCACAAGTTCAGGAAGTGCTACCCCCGGACCATCAGGCCCTTCTGTTGCCGGGAAACCAGGTGCCAAAGTCCATCCTCTTGGTATGGGGAGTTTTGAGGATAGCTAGCACCTCAGAACTAGATAGGGTAGATGTAAAGCCTAGTGACTAGTAATCTAGGGCTAGTTATGTCTCGGAACTAGACACAGTAGTTGGGTGTGTGATGTGTGGCTGTACTACACTGAAGTATCAGGCGGTATGTGAAGATTGATTGTATACAGTACACTGACACTTATTTGCCAATAATTACTGTAGTTCCATAGCACCAAAGTGTAACAGTTTACAAAGTCTGACTTAACAATGTGACACTTACCTCTATAGTGAAACCCACAACAGGAATCTTAGTTGTGAGTTATTGTTCAGGAGACATGTTTCTCAACATTTCTAAGAACAATAATGTAGACACTGACAGAATTAAACAGAGGATTTATTGTCTTGTACTGAAAATATACCAAGTTGTATAAACAGTTGATTTAAGAAGAATTACTCCATATGTAATGTACTTTATTTTTTCATTTCAAGTTTGAAACTGACATGTATATATTTCTCTTGCAGAGAGGTATCCGTTTTACCACATGGGGAGCTGAGTCCAAACAATTTCAACGGTGTTCTCCATAACAGTATATCTCCAGGGCCCTTCTCCAGGCCATTGGTTAGTGCATGTCTGGACACGTTCTCTCAAGCCTACTCCCAGAGATTTCCATAGCACACTTACCTTACACTGACTACATGAAATCTGCATGAGCTCATTCATCAGTGCAACACTGTCTGTCTGTCAGCTGCACATACATATGTCTATTTGGAGCAGAGTCAGTGAGCATGGCTTTACGCTGCTTTTAGCAATATTCCAGCAATATCACGGCAGGGGACACCAGAAATGGGCTTCACACATTGTACCCATGTGGGGACTCGAACCCAGGTCTTCAGTGTGAAGAGCAGATGCTTTAACTTCTAGGCTATCCCACCACCCTTTTTGGAGCAGAAACACATTGTGATATTGTCATAGACACATTAAGCATGAATCATGAATCATCATCATCATCATCATCATCATCAGATCTTTAAGTGACATTTAGAAGTTGGTGTGATGAACTATACCCCTTGTTCATCATTATCATTATCATCATCATTGATCACTGGATTGTCTAGTCCAGACTCGACTATTTACAGACCGCCGGCATACAGCTGGAACATTGCTGAGTGCGGCGTAAAACTAAACTCACTCACTCACTCGTCATCTTCTCTTTTGATAGATGCAGTGTGTGATTTCTGGTGTTCTCTTCCTTGATATTGCTGGAATATTGCTAAAAACAGCGTAAACTATAATCACTCACTCATCAGTATTGATTGGTTTTGTATTTAGATGTCATTAGATATCTTTGTTTCAAATAATTACAATACTGAAGGTTTGAGTTTTATATAACCAGGATTCACACAGTGTATAATCTTACTGTTGTAACTTGAGACATTTGGTTCAGTATTCTCTATCTCCTGATGTCAGTTTGATGGATGGAATGTGTTATACTGAAGAATTCATTGTTGCTGCAGGTAGGAATTGAAAGCTCTCCAGCCCATATGCGAGGAGCACTTGGCAGCATTCCAGGGGGAAAACCGTAAGTTTCCTAAAACAACAAATATTGACAGAACTGTATATGTAATTTAACAGTGTTAGAACCTACACATGACTCAAAATTATAAAAGTGTTTCTGAGACCCTTGATGTAACAATAATGTACCACAAAAACCTCACTGTAACCATGATGTACCACAAGACCCTCACTGTAACCATATTCTACCACAAGACCATCACTGTAACCATATTCTACCACAAGACCATCACTGTAACCATAATGTACCACAAGACCCTCACTGTAACCATATTGTACTGTACAGACCCTCACTGTAACCATATTCTACCACAAGACCATCACTGTAACCATAATGTACCACAAGACCCTCACTGTAACCATATTGTACCACAAGACCATCACTGTAACCATATTCTACCACAAGACCATCACTGTAACCATAATGTACCACAAGACCATCACTGTAACCATATTGTACTGTACAGACCCTCACTGTAACCATATTCTACCACAAGACCATCACTGTAACCATAATGTACCACAAGACCCTCACTGTAACCATATTGTACTGTACAGACCCTCACTAACCATTTTCTACCACAAGACCCTCACTGTAACCATATTCTACCACAAGACCCTCACTGTAACCATATTGTACTGTACAGACCCTCACTGTAACCATATTGTACCACAAGACCCTCACTGTAACCATAATGTACCACAAGACCATCACTGTAACCATATTGTACCCAAAAAGACCACTGTTACCATATTGTACTGTAAAGACCCTCACTGTAACCATATTGTACAAAAGCCCTCACTGTAACCATAATGTACCACAAGACCCTCACTGTAACCGTATTATACTGTACAGACCCTCACTGTAACCATATTCTACCACAAGACCATCACTGTAACCATAATGTACCACAAGACCATCACTGTAACCATAACGTACCATAAGATCCTCATTGTAACCATATTCTACCACAAGACAACTGAAAGACCTCACTGTAATCATGACGTACCAAAGAGACCCTCACTGTAACCATGATGTACTACAAGACCCTTGCTGTAACCATAATGTACTATAACACCCTAAATGTGAACACGGTGTACCACAAGACCCTCATAGAAACATAAATATACTGCAAGACCATTACCGTCAATGAACCCATATGCTTTGACTGTTATTTTTCATTTAACACTACAAACAGCTTTTGAAACAAACAACATAGAAGTTGATTCTTATAAATCATTTTGGATGCAGCCAATTTAATTATATCTGTCTGCTTTCAGAGCATATTCCTTTCATGTGAGTGGAGACGGTCAGATGCAGCCGGTGCCCTTTCCTCCAGACGCTCTGATTGGTCCAGGCATTCCACGTCATGCTCGGCAAATCAACACATTGAATCATGGGGAGGTTGTGTGTGCCGTTACCGTTAGCAACCCGACCAGACACGTGTATACAGGAGGCAAGGTAAGGAATGGTAGATGATTGTTGAAATGTGTTGTATTTAGTGTTAGGTGGATAGTTATATTTTATGTGTATATCCCTCAGTCTATACCGTTCTGTATAGGACGTAATTGTAATCAGAGTCTTGTTTGGAACCTCTAGACCATGTAATCAGAGTTCTGTTTGTAACCTGTAGACCTTGAAACCACAGTCTTGTTTGGAACCTCTAGACCATGTAATCAGAATCTTGTTTGGGACCTCTAGACCTTGTAATCAGAATCTTGTTTGGGACCTCTAGACCTTGTAATCAGAGCTCTCAATGTAACTTCTAGACCGTGTAACCAAAGTCTTGTTTTGAACCTCTAGACCGTGTAACCAAAGTCTTGTTTGGGACCTCTAGACCTTGGAATCAGAGTTCTCAATGTAACCTCTAGACCATGTAACTAAAGTCTTGTTTGGAACCTCTAGACCATGTAATCAGAATCTTGTTTGGAACCTCTAGACCATGTAGTAGGTGTCCTCTTTCCAGTTGTCAATTATGTCAAACACAACAACAAAAACCATTACCATTACCTATGAGCATTATTACACTTACACTTGTTGTCAACCCATTTGAAACAACATGCAATAATCATCATTCTTTTTTCATGGGCTAGATCAAGTCAAGGTCACACTGAAATTGAAATTATATTTACACTTTGAGTAACCAATTACGAGTCCTAGCTGACATTTTTCAAAATTAACTTTTAAGCTTTTTACTTCATATATTTCATGGAAAAATACTTCTTGAAAAATAAGTTGAAACTATCATGAATAAAGTGTCCAGAAACAAATTCTTTTTACAAATATCTGCAGACTAGCAGACTTGTCCATAAAACCAAAGAAATGTAAAACATCTGGCCTTGGGTCAATAACTGTGCGAGTGAGGCAGTCTTGTGGATATAATGCAAGCAGTTACTGTTAGATGATGTAGGTAATGATAGTCAAGACACCAATGTTTATGGATGTGTCAGGATTGTCTGGCTGTTCTTTCAGGGCTGTGTGAAGGTCTGGGACATCAGTCAACCAGGCAACAAGTCTCCTGTCTCCCAGCTGGACTGTTTGGTGAGTTACACAAAATACTCCTTGATAAATAACGATCCATGTCAAAGATCAAGCCATATCAAATGTTTGGCAAGTTCTACAAAATACTCTTTGATAAATAATGATACATGTCTGAGATCGAGACATATGAAATGTTTGGGATCTTTCATATTTTATCAATATCATGTCTTTTTTCCAGCAAAGAGATAACTACATTAGGTCTATCAAGTTATTGCAAGATGGCCGCACACTGATAGTGGGAGGCGAGGCCAGCACATTGTCAATATGGGACTTGGCAGCAGTGAGTAGAGTCCTGCTTCTAAAAGCATGGAACATGTGTATGCGATTATTTCCTGTTGAAAACAGATGGAATTAAGGAATGGTTTATATAATGACATAATATTAGATATGTGTAGACGGAGAGGAAGAAAGGATATTCCTGCAGTTTTGCGATATGTTTTCCACTATACACATGGAACTAGATTATTTTTTCTTGTTGTATGATAAACAGATCAAGAAAGCAAATGTTACCAGTCAGGATAGGTTTACAGAATGAGCGTGCATACATCTGATGTTTCTCAAACAGTAGCAAGGGGGATATTATTTGGTATAACATTTTTCTGCAAGAAACAGGAAGAACATGTAGACTCTGTTGTTGAATGAGCACTGAGGCCGAATATCTCTTCCCTTTCATGGATGCTAATATACATTTCAGACAACAATATTATCCATCTTTTGTTTGTTCCTCGGGGTGTACTTGAAATCACCTCCTTTTCAACACACGCTTTGTTACTGTACACTCTAAGTACTGGATGCAGTTTGTACTGATCATGTGTAAGAACAGGTTTTTGTTGTAAATAATGCTTGTTGACTATATTAAGGGCATTTGTTGGTCAGTTTTTATGAAACATGTTAACTTTCTGTGGCTAAAATTTACAGTCAACGCCAAGAATCAAGGCCGAACTGACGTCAAGTGCCCCTGCATGTTACGCCCTTGCCATCAGTCCCGATAGCAAAGTCTGCTTCAGCTGTTGTAGTGACGGAAACATTGCAGTCTGGGATCTCCATAACCAGACACTGGTTAGGTAAGTCACAAACAAACACAGCCATAGTCAGAAAGTGGTTAGTCTGAAGGTAGCAAACCAAAAGCAAGATAATCTGAAGGCCAATCTGTAGGTAACCTGTAAGTGGATGATGCTATGTGGATCAGAAACAAACACATCTATGACTTTGCTGCTATTCAGGGTAGTCAGAAGCAAACAAGCCAACAAGCAGATCTTTTTCTAATGACTCAGAAAGGTAGATCTTTAATATTATATTTCCAAAAAATTGTTTACAGTGAACATCATTGACAATAGTCTTTACAAAGTTTGTGAAAAATGACAAAGAGATTGTTTGTTTGGAATTCGAAGAAAAACAACAGATATGGATTGACCTTGAAACTTTTCTGAAGACATGTTTACCTAATACTAAATTTTGTTTGGATTTATTGATACTAACACACCAGATAATCACTTCTCTAAGGAAATTAAGTGAACCAAATTAAAAATAGGTAACTATTTAAAAGATGTAAGGGATATTTTTCATTGTAAAAATACTTTGCTAAACAAATCATTGTGTTAACATTTCAGTAAATGTTGTATTCTCTTTTTACAGCATTAGAACACTGTATCTGTAATGGTAATTGTATTACCTTGCTCAAAAGACCATCTAACAAAATAATAAATAAAAATGTGAGTCAGGATGAAACACCCCTTTGACCAGCTTTTTCTTGAGTAGCTTGAGTATCTCAGACGTAAACATATTCATAACTTCTGCCTTTGTTCATTGAAAGTGGGGAATATATTTCTGCATCACATAAACTCATAGCAAGCCTTTGAGCAGCTGTGTTGAACTGGATATAGGCACTATACACATATATATATATATAAATAAATAAAAATCAAATAGCATCGTACCAGGTATGTTTACAGCAATGATGATGATGATGATGTATGTGAACAAAATTTCAGGCAATTTCAAGGTCACACAGATGGCGCTAGTTGTATCGACATCTCCACAGATGGAACAAAACTTTGGACAGGAGGTCTGGACAACACAGTCCGATCTTGGGACCTGAGAGAGGTAGGTGCCAATTTATGTATTCCTGATTCATATCTTGTCATTGATCAAATGCCAAAAAGTTATATTCTTAGTGTGAAAGTCAATACAACCAATTAAGAACCTGTTAAAGCATTATTTCAGGGGCGGTGGGGTAGCCTAGTGGTTAAAACGTTCTCTCATCATGCTGAAGGCACAGGTCCAATTCCTCACATGGGTACAATGTGTAAGCACATTTCTGGTGTCCCCAGGCCGTGATATTTCTGCTAAAAGCAGCGTAAAACCCAACTCACTCACTCACTCACTCACTCACTCATTATCTTTCAAATGTTCCCTGACTGTATGTTGGTGTTCTACCATGCACTATAACTTTCATAAGACAGATGAGTGAGTGAGTGAGTATGGTTTTACGCTGCTGGCAATATTACATCAATATCATGGCAAGGGACGCCAGAAACGGGTTTCACACTTTGTTCCCATGTGGAGAATTGAACCAGGCTTTTAGCATGACCAACAAATACTTTAACCACAAAGGCTACCCCACCACCCCTTAAGACAGGTGAATGCTAGTTCTTGTTGTTAAGACAGGTGAATGCTAGTTCTTGTTGTTAAGACAGGTGAATGCTAGTTCTTGTTGTTAAGACAGGTGAATGCTAGTTCTTGTTGTTAAGACAGGTGAATGCTAGTTCTTGTTGTTAAGACAGGTGAATGCTAGTTCTTGTTGTTAAGACAGATGAATGCTAGTTCTTGTTGTTAAGACAGGTGAATGCTAGTTCTTGTTGTTAAGTTGTCTGATGTCTTTTATCGGCATTTAGAAGTTGTATATAGATGTCCAAGATATTTTCTATGGATTAAGCTTCTTTATTATTTCCCACACAACGTTTCGGGACCATTACAGATCCCTTCATCAGGTGAACTGACATGGATGGCAGTGAGAGATAGTTAAGAGATAGATGGCAGTGTCAAACAATGTCATTTGTCAATACAGCCAGGAATAGTAGGCCAGATATCACGGGCTACAGAAGTGACATTGAGTGTTTCATTTACAAGCTCTAAATCCAGAACCTGATTTAGCAGGAATTAAGTATGTACATAGTTCCATGGTTTACTGGAAGTCTAGGATGGTCTCAATACACATTACTGTGTTGCTATAAATATCCTAATACATCAAATGATTGTAACGAACACCTGGGAACTAATCTCAAGGTCACTGCACAACATTGTAAACAAGGCCCACCAGTTCACCTGTGTCTGATGCAAGAAGATAGGACAAGTAATTTGATTTTACAGGGTTAGTGGTCTGACCCAGACAGAAATCTGTAGAACACATGTGAGGCCATATTAGTGGGACATTACCTTGATGATAATGGATGGTAACATGTCTAATGTTTTTGTCCCCAGGGTCGTCAGTTACAGCAGCACGACTTCACATCCCAGATCTTCTCCCTGGGGTACTGTCCTACAGGGGACTGGCTCGCTGTCGGGTAAGTTTGGGATGAATCATTAACGACAGATTATGACAGTTAGGATTTGGTTTGTTTACTTGTAATTATAGAAGATATTCAGAATTTATCAATTCTTGTTAAAACTCATCAATATTATTATTTGTATATTGTTAGTAGGAGGTAAAATGAAAACTGAGAACTTTGTAAAACAAAGTTTTACCTGTTTTCTAATCTGAGACCCCACCCTATAGCACCAACACCCAACCAAGACCTTTTCCCTTCCACACTATAGAGACCTATCTTTCAACACCATAAAGACCTGCCCTTCCAACGCCATGAGGACCAAGCTCTTCAACACCTCACTGAAACTCTGTCTACTCTCAATACATCAAAGATGCTTTCTACTCCAAACACCTCTCTAAGACCCTTATCCTTCTTTAAACACCTCACTGAGACCCAATCCTATTGACACCCCATAGAGATCCACTTCAGTGAGACCCAGTTCTTCTTTCAACACTTCACTCAGACCCAATCCTTCTTTCAACACTTCACGCAGACCCAATCCTTCTTTCAACACTTCACTCAGACGCAATCCTTCTTTCAACACTTCACTCAGACCCAATCCTTCTTTCAACACTTCACTCAGACCCAATCCTTCTTTTAACACTTCACTCAGACCCAATCCTTCTTTTAACACTTCACTCAGACCCAATCCTTCTTTCAACACTTCACTCAGACGCAATCCTTCTTTCAACACTTCACTCAGACCCAATCCTTCTTTCAACACTTCACTCAGACCCAATCCTTCTTTTAACACTTCACTCAGACCCAATCCTTCTTTCAACACTTCACTTAGACCAAATTCTTCTTTTGGCACCTCACTGACACATCTACGTGACTCTATCCATCTGGAACACTAGCCATACAAAATCGGCATGCATCAAAGCCAGCATCAACATCATAATCTGACCCAAAATTCAGACCATATGCATCCTAAATTTTTCAACCATTAATACTTTTGCCTGCCCTCAAACTAGTAAAGATCCAGGTTAGAGTTGATCTTCAGTAACCAGTGCTTGTCATGAGAGACGACTAACAGTATCAGGTGGTCAGTCTTCATGTCCCAATTGTGTAGATCAGTGCTGTTGATCACCAGATTGTCTGTTACAAACTCAGTTATGTACATGTGAACGTAATAGAGTTTAAGAAGTCATAGCACTATAATTCCTGTAAGGAAAGTGACCCAGGTCTTACTGAAAATGTCACTCCTAACACATTCGCCTACAAAACTGACTGTCCCTAAACCCCGGAATGTACCCTGAAATCTTAGCCCTCCCTGCACTTACTGTTCCTAACACAAGCTGACATTTGTGGTTCTAAGACCTCTTATCTTCCTTAGTTTGTGATTTGTACTGAATTTCCTTATTGATTTTATTAAATTCCATTACCTTGCCAGCATGGAGAGCAGCAACGTGGAGGTGCTCCATCAATCCAAGCCAGACAAGTACCAGCTTCATCTGCACGAGAGCTGTGTCCTCTCTCTCAAGTTTGCTTACTGTGGCAAGTGGTTCGTTAGCACGGGTAAAGACAATCTCCTCAACGCATGGAGAACGCCATATGGAGCAAGTATTTTCCAGGTATGTGTCATATTGCAATAAGTTTGTAAATTAATGATAACATAATATTATATACAGTTATCAATATAAACACCTTACCAATAATTGGTGTGTCACTATACTTAGACATGAGTACCCTCGTACCATCCTACTGCAAGGAGGGTTGTTATTTTCACTACATTAATTATACAAACTGTGTAATATGTGTCAAGTTGTTGGTATGGCACCATTAGCTGTCTTAATGATTAAATATATTTCGTGATGATGTTATTAATATTGTATGTGAAACATATTCTATATAAGTGCTCCTATAGTAGATGGTCTGATAAGTAGTCCAAGTTTTTATAGGAGACGTTTTGATTGGCATAGCTATGTCAAGCAGGCATTGTCAGTTACATGTGAAACCATAAGTTTGAATTTAATCAAAGGTATCAACTTTAGGATTAACCTGGATTTAAATATGTCAGATAAAAATTAACGTGGACAATCAGCTTTATGTCAAAACGTTAAAGGTGTTATTTATATTAGACCTAGGAGATGATGCAAGCAAATGAAATGTTATGTTCCTTCAGATCAGGGTTTCATGTCAAGTATTTGAAAAAGGGTTTCATTGCTTATGTTTAAGACAGTGTTTTATTTTATATGCCTTTCATCCAGGTTTCATTTTGTGTGTTTGACAGGGTTTGATTTCATTCACTTAGGCCTGGGTTTGATTGTATTCATTTAAGGCAGGGTTTTGTTTCATGCATTTCAGACAAGGTTCTGTTTATTGTATTGAGGGCAATGTTTCATTTAATGAAACAAAGCCTGGTTTTCATTTCATGTTTTATAATCAAGGTTTCATTGCTGTGTTTAAGACTGGATTTGGTTTCATTGCTGTGTTTAAGACTGGATTTGATTTCATGCATTTAAGACAAGGTTTCAATGGTAATATATTCACTGTACATTTTGGTATATATAACATACATTGCACTCTTGTTTCAGTCCAAGGAGTCTTCCTCTGTGTTGAGTTGTGACATATCAGCTGATGACAAGTACATCGTTACTGGCTCCGGCGACAAGAAAGCCACGCTATATGAAGTCATATTCTGATTGGATGAGGTTAAACCAACATGTGAAGATTCCATGGCCGTGTTATGTGAGGCTAAAACATCTACCTGTTGCAGCATCGGGCCCAGCATCAAGATGCATCATGACGAGAAGGAGCAGCTTGTACGATCATGTGATTGTGGATACAATATTCAAGTGCTACATACAGAGAACGGAAGACCATGCTGTTCATGTCTGGAACATGACAACTGGGTTAGATATCGACGTCATCAGGACAGTCTGTTTCCAACAGTGTAATGTGTGTGTGAGAGTTTTTTATGTATATAAATGATTTATAGTGCACTGTCAACAAATATTTCGATTGAAGGTCTGATACAGCTTTTCAAGATTTATTTGGCATTTCATGGAAGTATAAGACCATGTACAAGCCAAGTTATGGAAATATTCAAGGCATGTATAAGGCAAGTCATGGAAATGTACAAGGCATGGTCAAGCCAGGCCACTGAAAACTGGAAGTCATGGACAAGGCATTCTGTGCATGGATTCAAGGGCATGAATAAGCCATATCATGAAAATGTATATGTACAAGTCTCTCTTGAAATAGTAATAGAAATATACAAGGGCATGAAACACCAGTCATGGAATGATACAAGGCACTCACAAAGAAAATACACAAGGCATGTACAAGGAAATATATGAGGGTACAAGCAAGATATGACATTCAAAGGTACAAGGAGATGTACAACATGGTGACAGAAGCCATCTACAAGGGATAATCAAGAGGAACCCAACATTATGCCAAATAGGCAGACATTGTTGTATGTCAGAATACATTGACATATGCACATGTTGTTTTAGTAGACCTATTAGTGTGTGTCTCACTTACATAAATATTGTCATCTATTTCAGTCTATTGACATTGTGAAATCTACATCTCTGTATATAGCGACATGTACAAGTGATTGATTCAGCCTCTCAGCATTTCACGTCAGTGTTTCATCATAGTATATAAATATATATATATATATGTGTGTGTGTGTGACTGCTGAACACAGGAATCTACAGTCATGCATCATGTTTTAAAACGTGTGTCAAATATGTGTCATGTGTTCAATGGACAAAGTTTTTGTTTATTTTGATCTTCATGTTGGACATATGATGACATTGATGTGTTTTCCCTCGACCACTTCTCGGTACTGTACATGATTGTCTGTAATCAGCATCTGTGGAGGTAACTTCAATGTGGGAAGTGTCAGGAACCAACACCACATGTTTCAGGAACATGAGATTCTGCAGAACACCTTGGAACCAAGACATCTCTGTTATATATTTTTCAAATGTATGAACTAGAAAAAACTTCAAGTCTTTGAAGAATCTACTGGCATCCTGGCAAATCAAGACTTTGGCTTTAATACATGGAGTGGTAACAAATGTTGACTCAAGTGTGTTAGCACTTGGATATATTCCTGGACAAATAAACTACATTATCCTGAGGAAATGGTTTATTGACCACATGGTGTATACATAACCCCTCATCATCCAAAGTTGGCGTATTTGGGTCTTCTCCATGGATCTGCAAACTGACAAGTTTCAAGCATATGGACTCAGATAGCCAGAGAGATTAACATGCTTGCAGTCATATGGACATCTCAAATGGACCTAGAGATTGACATGATTGACATACCTATACCGGACCTTTAAGTGAACATGTTTCAACTCTATTGGCCCCTGATGTCCTCAGTTTCAGACATATAAGATGCCACCTTTCATGGACAAGTTCATGGTAAAAAAATAGACATGAAGCACCTGTTAAATATGGAAATATGCATCAGGAGTGTGGAAAATATTTCTGTGGACATTTGAAACTCTCGACACACTTAAGTCATAAGAACATGTTGGCATTGTCTGAATATGGAGATGTGCTGAATTTGGATGAACAGGAAGTGCCACACTTGGACTGATACAAAGTGTCATTCTTCAAGAGTTTCATGGAACTTACCATTTTGTATATAGTCTTCAGCTATATGCCATGCTAATCAATTATCAGTTGCATTACAGTGATCTCATAGATTTGACCAATCTTATTCATGCTCAGGACATGCTTCATTTTGTTGACATATCTGCTTGAGAACTGCCAGTAATGTGAAAATAAGAACTGACCATGAAGTACCTGAGCAGGGCTTTTATGTCTTGGTAGTAACAATGCCACATGGAAAGATATGTTATTTAGAGGTTTACATTCAGATCAGTATTTAAACCAGTAGATAAATCTGAAGGGACAATTTATTTGAGATTATATGAGTTTAAAGAGTAATATATTGTTAATCCTTGAAGAGTATCAGCTGAATAGAATGATGTTGACAGTGCTACCGTTGAATTCTTTAACCTATTTCAGTAGATATGCCAAACTGATTTTTTTCGACTGACGTATATGTAAGGTAAGAAAAGTATTGATGCAACTTCAGATAAATGAAACTTTGATATAGAAAGTTATCTAAGAAGTATGTAGCTGTAATTTTTAAACATTACTCATAAACTCTTATTGTTCATGCTAATACCATGTTTTTGATGTTACAAAATATTTGCCAGATGATTTCCTTTGAAGTATTGTCATTTTCAAAGAAGCTTTTTGAAAACAAAGGATGATCATTTAAGCAAAAATTTCTGGCATGTAATCAACAAAGATCTTGATATCAACATGATAATGTACAACTGTTTCCATGGTAACACAAATGTAACGAATATGAGTTGAATCAGGGGCAATGTTTATGATCAATGTAACTTACATATTTTAAAAGATTCAGAAATGGAAAGAAAATTGTATAAATCTTGAGATTTTGAATTGTTTGTATTTATTTCTGTGGCCATTTGTACAAGGACTTCTGCAGTGCCAGAAATGTTGTGAAATGTTGGAATATTAATTTCTGTGGTTGTCAGTGTTTTTGTTAAGCCAAATATACATTTAGTGTATTAAACTGTGTTATACGAATGAAAGTGGAAGCATTGTTCTGTGTTGTGATTGGAATGAGTGAATATTTCATACATGTCATTTTCTTATCAAGTTTTAACAGACAGTAAATACAGATTCTGTAATATCTGTATGTCAGAATGAATATTTGATGAAATATATTTGATGTTACTTGAGTAGTACATTAGTCTGAAATGTTTACGATTTATATCAATGGGACAGAGATAACTGCTTGGGCTGTGTTTGCAACTATTTTTTTCAAATTACCTGAAGTTTACAAAATGGGATTGGTTGTCAATAACAAGGGGCAACTCATTTGCAGAAAACCAGATTGAATTAAAAATGAATTTTCAAATTGTATTTTTGAAGTTTGAGTTTTATCCAAAGTGAAATGACAATGTTTTAGTAAAACACAAAGAAGTAAACCACAGGAATGACAAAGAAAACAATGCATTTGGATAAAATGGAATTTGATTGCCAATACCAACAAAGACTAACTAAAGCTAAATGCTCAGAGTATTTTGTCAGTCGTCAAAGTGAACACGTAGATTTCTTTAGGTATGGTAACTCCAATATGTGTCGTAGCGTGAATGAGTGTCTGTACTCTTCTCCTGTTCATTTGCATCCATATTTCCTCGAAAAACATTTTAACAGTGTTCAACAATAATTTGACTATCAATGCTTTCCGCTTTCCTTTTGGCTTTCACCTAACCTTACTGATCCAAAGAACCATTATCTTTAGACAAATTCTGATATTAATATTTCACAGCCTGCTGTAAGCTACATGGTTGGGATGTCAGAACTGCAATGAACACGATAATGTTTGCAAATAACAACCCAGTGTCAGGAACTGGTTTCCTCCCTGCTTCACTAACTCTTGCAATCAACACCAGAGTGCTGGTAATACGCATCAGTAGATATACTAAGATTCCATTATGTTTGCAGTGGGCATCAATGAGGCCTGCAATGAACCACGAAGCACTATTATTTGTCTTCTTACAATTCTACCCCTTCACATTTACTTCCCGTTCTAGAACTGATCGTGGCAGCTTGCAGTTCAAAAGATCCAAATCTATCAGGAACTGTATGGTCTCAAAGGGACAGATACACCTGAATAGTTTCAACATAAGTTGACGCAAGGACATGTAAGTAGGAATAGCAAGATGAGTTGTGACCGTGGACAAATACCTTTCCCTGTCATCTAGTTTATTACGTGTCAGTGATTGGTGATTGTTCACAATATTGGCCATATATTTCCTGACTGAGTTGACCTAATAGCGCCATCACACTGTCATCACATTTCATTTGCTACACAATGACATTAACTTACTACATGAACTACCAACACGGTCATAATACAGTTCTATTCAAGCACAGGCAAATTGTAGCGCAAATAGGGTTGCGCAACAAAGAGAAAATGACCAGTCTTCCCATAAAGCTCGCTATGCGCGCATATTGGAAGACTGGCCATTTTCTCTTTGTTGCGCAACCCTATTTGCGCTACAATCTGCCTGTGATTCAAGCACTTTGGAAATATGCCATAATGTGATATGACAGGAGAAAATATTGGCACCAAGCATGATTACTTTTGCCAATTAATAAGTTACGACACTACATTATATTGTTTCTGATAAAGTCTGTTAGAGGAGCATACTAAGCATCATACTGTTCAGAAACGTGACCTATGAGCATAATAATGGTGTTAGCATCGTCACAGTCTGTGAGGCAGACATGTTTTGTTGGCACATAAAGAAATAAAAAAATATTTGAAAACTGAAAATTGTGTTGTTGGTGTATACTTTGAAATGTTTCGAAATATTCTTAGGAAAATAAGTCTACACTTGGCATCAGAGCCATATGGTTTGACGAGGACATACAGGTCAAGATACAAATGTCTGGTTGTCATAGAAACATACATTATAATGTTTTTGACAACGCCATGCAAATATTAGTGATCCATAGAATGACGTCACGCCAACACATGCCAACCTTGTATTCAGTATACGTAAAGGTGGCCATATCTATATCCAGCCTGTTACTGGGTAAATTATGTAGCTGTTCTACATAGGTAGTGGTACCCTATGTTTTAAGCAGCCACTTGTCACGCTGAATTCCCGGGTTCGATTCCCCGTTTGGGTACAAAGCCCATTTCCGGTGTTCCCAGCCATGATATTGCTGGAATATTGGTAAACATAGCGTAAAAAACATACTCACTCACTCTAAATTGTTATGTGTGTGTCATAATATTCATAATACACTATACACTAGTAATGCATGGACGTTGCTGTGATGTGGGTGTATATTGTGCCTCAGTTGGTTGAGGTTATGTTCCGCACCCATGGACAAGTCAACATTTCGTGGACAGAATGTCATCTGAGCAACTCTTGTACAGCTTGAATTACGAAATATGCTCATTAATAACGCCTTGGTAGTAATCTCTTCTTTAAATATTGTATTCTGGGGAAATAGTACAATCGCCATGCAGGTGGGGTTTCACAAATCAGCAACCATGTCGGATGATCCATGCAGGGGCTGTTATGGGTATTCGAGGACTTTCAAACACGAATGTGTTCTTCTCTAAATGCACCGTCTTTCATTTGTTTAGCGTCCCCATATTTAAAATAAAAAATCATTTTTTCTCTTTAAATAAATTAAATGAATTGCACCTTCCGAAAATATTTAAAATTGTCAAGAAGAAAAACAATGACAAGTTTGCGCGCCTCCGGTTGGATCTAGAAACAATAATCAGACTTTAGAAGCTCGAGGTTTTTGTCAGCTGAGCTTGGAAGGACGTTGGTGGTTACAATCAGTTCCATTATGTCATTTTCAAAAAGATATTTAATGTTGAGATTGTTGTAAACAGGTAGGGATATTTGTGACAGGAAACAACACTTGGGGCAAAATAATATGTATTTTGATGACGTATCCCGCATTAGTTATGCAGTCACTTTAATGATCAGTTGGTTAATGACCACTTGAGGGTGGTTCAAAAGGTAGTTGACACCTGTATGAGTAGGAATGGTTTATAGTCAGCATTGTGTGGGCTTTGCCATTGTGAACAGATTATGAGAAAAAACGTTTATGGCATATTTCGAACAGGCAATTCTTTTATAACACTTATATGAGCATTGCTTCTAAATACATGCGGTTGCATGCGGATTTCCGAACCAAGAGTTTTCATTTAAAGAATTGATAAAATACTTGTACTGTCAGAAAAAAGAAAATATTCTCTTGGAAATTGGATTAGACAAACACTATCACAGCGTTACTACGTTGAAAACAATCGCGGAAACTCTGCAGGTCCAGAGTGATTATTGATTTGATTGTTTGCTGTCTAACGCCGCACTCAACAATATGCTACATGTATCTATATGGTGTCCTCCCATTTGCGAGAACTCCCAGTTGCGAGACACATTAATTAATGGTTCAGTGCACACAGGTGGTGCTTCCCAATCCCTACGATGAAAGTGGGAACAGCCCTGTTTCTGAAGAGTACCCGCAGGAGGCATAGTTCATTAATGAGACACAGAAGACATTGTTCATTGAAGAGCATTTATTGATTTCAATAAAGAACAAGTTAAATACTGAAATACTGAAAAAGATTATCATTATATTTACACAGAAGAAATAGTTCATTAAATACTTCATTATCATTTTTTATTCACACATTTTGATGATTTGCGTTATTATGATGTTTGTGTGTCATTATAAAACACTTTTTTACATGGGTCCATATTTGGAAATTTTGACACTTTTCATATTTTCAGCAGTTTGCCGACTGCATCAAGATACTGCATGTGATTTTTCGTTCCATCTGCAAGTTGATCTTTGAGTCTATGTAGTCGATTGTCTATTTCCCTGTACAAGCGTTTCCTCGATTGAGGGGCGCCTCCCAGGTCGAGTTGGCACAGCTTGGCCTTCTCTGCCTTCTCTATTTTCCAGATGATTTCCATAAACCTGAAGATCTTTGGATGGCGATGACTGAGTGTAGCATTCAATCTACTGTGAAACCCCTCAATGTTGTTGTTAGTCCTGGGGCCGAATGTGTCATGATGGTTCCATATGGGCAAGGGAAAGCGAGCGTCGTCGTCCACCCAGGTTGTAGTGATGTAGTCGTTGAATGTCTGTGAGCCGGGGACGTCAGGGGAGGAGTTCATGGTGTCTACCCAAGCGTCCTGAACTTGCCGAAGAGGCAGAAGTGGGAGAGCAGCAGCTCGTCGCACCCAACGTTCTACAAGAGGATCTTCTCTGTACATGACAGCGAGTCCGAGTTCTTGCGTCTTCCTCCAGATGGCCTGCGTATAGTGAAAAAAACACCCCTTAACCTCAGCGGCTGGAAACTCAAGCTCAACAGCTCGAATAGCAGCCATCTCAAAGTCCACTTGAAACTTGTCAGGGTTGAGAGGCTGGTTGAGAAGTTGCTGAACATGGATCTTAAGGTTGCTGAAAAGGCGCTGGTATGTAGCTTGACGACGGTCAGGGAGCAGGGCGTATACCAAGGGGAAGGTCGTTATCCCTTTCCTGACATGGAGGATGTACAGCTGGTTCCAGAGGTCGGGACATGCTGTGAACGTACCGTCCATGTAGATAACTGTTGCGGATCGAAGCACTCGCAGCTGTTCATCTGTTGAGAACACGAGCATCTTGTCGTCTTCACCATCGCTGAACAGCAGAAATCTGTTGCCGTCGCATGTGTCCGTCCATGGAGCAGTGAGGTTGACATCGGCTCTGGGCATAGTTGATGTTGGTTCATCACGTGCTCGCTTTCTCAGGCTGCTCACAAAACGGAGGCGTTGGACATCTACTGGAGGATGGTCATGATCAGTAACATTCCGAATATAGTCGCCGACTGTAGTGCATTTGCCGTTGCACGTTCGTATCGTACATCTCCAATAGGTACAAATCTGCCGCTGCTTGTTCTTGTAATACAGGTAACCCTGAAAGAGCACCTGAATACTGCCTCGTGAACTGGTGATGTATTCTACTTGTTGAAGGCCTGCCATAATGGTGATCGGAAAGAGCAGTCACAGGTTAATAAATACATTTGGATTAATTATAGTTACAACAGTTATTGCTAGATTTTTCAAGCACGTAAATCTGAGTAGGTCAATTAATTTCTCTTTCAAATGATCACGAAGTTACCTACACAAAGTGTTTATTTTTTAAAGCCATTTACCTGAGTAGGTTAATTACTTTATCTTTTAAGCTACCTCCACAAGATTCAGTTAAATAGCTAATCCCTAATTAGCTGGGGTTAATCCATTCTATCAGATAGGGGAGTAAGGTGTGTTTTCTTTGCTCCTTACCTTCTCCACTGTCTCACAACTGGGAGTCTCGCAACTGGGAGTTCTCGCAAATGGGAGTAGACCATCTATATATAAACGGTCTGTAAATACTCGAATCTGAACAAGACAATCCAGTGATCAATAGCATGAGCATCGCTCTGCGCATTTGCGATACGATGACAGGTGTCAACCAAGTCAGCGAGTCTGACCACCCGATCCCGTTAGTCGCCTTTTACGACAAGCATGGGTTACTGAAGATCAATTCTAACCCGGATCCTGACGGGTAGCAGGTCCAGAACACAATTATAACTCCCATAGCAAATACATCACCATGTGAAAGCCATTTCTTGATTGCTTTGTTTCGAGCCAGTTTCAAACGTAGGTATATATACTGGACAAAAATAGTTAGGGAGATCTGTAAAACCGGCATATATGTAAATTTTGAAATTATGAATAATGATCTATTTATTCATTGACACTCAAATATCAATCATAAATATACCAATATCCCTAACTTATTTTGTCCAGTATACTTCAACAAGTGTAGCTGAGTGTTTGTTTGTTAATAGGCCGCGTGGTATTCCAGCAGGGTCCTTGTCAGGAGAGGTTCTCTCACAGTAATGACGCCAACGCGATTCTAATTTACTTACAATATCTTGACATAACCCCAGTGAGTTGATGAATCACTCTAACTTACATGTTATTTCCTCAGCACGACAAGGAAATCAGCTTTTGAAAAATTGCTCAACCAATCAATCCATCGAAGTTAGACATACAACAGAAACTTTTCCTTACAACTTTACAGCAAGTCATAACGTGAATCGGTATTCTGGCCAAGATAGGCCATTGACAACTCGTGTTTCAACAATAGCAAGAAAGCAAACATACAAGTCATTTTCGTGTAGCCTTTATTGACACTGGACCCAATTGACGAGAAGTCATCCTCATCTCTCAATATCTAGCCAAGTTTCTAGTACTTTCCTTAACCTTTAACTCAACTTCCAGTTTAAACCAACAAAGACAGCATCAGAATGCAACACGCTCCTTCTGAACCAAGTACCTCCATTTTGACCGTCGTGATAATTGCGTCGTATTTGAGGTTTAATATTGACATAGCACGAGAACCAACCCCGGAGTGTTGTGAAGGCAAAGCTCAGGCGTTTATTGCTAACAATGCCCTTTCTCTCTACACTGACAAACTTATCGTAAGTTATTGACATTTCTAATCAATATGAACGCGTTATTGGAGAAGTGAAATACCCTACCAGGAAATGTTAGGTGTGCATACCGGAGCTCTTGTCACGCCTGTGGTCGTATTACCTATGCGTGTCTTGGCGTGACTTTATTGCCAGGGTTGCTGTCATATGGCCACATTGCTGAACCTTGACTCATCGACATAGCTGTGGCAAGGCGACTACCTACACTAAGCTTTGTTAGAAGATCATTTAAACGTGGTGTTTATTTTGCATGGGTATAATGTTATTAGTTTACCCTGGGTTTATAGTGTACTTAACCCTAGTTTGCAGGGGACGCCCTTGTGTGGGTTGTAAGGTGTTTTATTGGGATATGCTTAAGTAGTGCTTCATGGTGTGGTGTGAGTGTTGATTGGCTATGAAAGATAGGATAACTTACTTATAGAAAGCAATAAACAACACTCTCAAAGTAAACGCATTTTCAAAACGCTGGTGTGACCGCGTTTCTTTTTTTGTTGTTATTTATTTATATTATTGTATTTTTTATTATTTTTTATGTTATCTTATTTTATCTTTATTTATTTATTTTTTTATTTATTTTTATTTTTATTTTTATTTATTTTTTCGGGGTAGGGGGATGGGGGGTTAGTGCCTCTTTGTGAACTTCTTTTGGGTGGTTCTAGTGTTCAAATTCGTTTCCTTGTTCGTTATCAAGAACAAAGAGGGAAAACACACTATGAAGAAGATTAATTTTCGACTGTGAAACGTCATTATATTTATAAACCGTAAACGAACAATTACACTAGGTATTTCTTTAGGACTATGAAATAGCTGTAAACGGAACAAACTTCCTCATGACAAATAAATAGGCTTGTAATATTATTATCTATTTATTTTCTCTGTGTTTTATGTTTAGTTTGTGTTTTGTTTTTGTTCTTATTATCCCAACCCGATCACCGTTTAAACGTTGACAAATGGCTGGCTATTGAGGCTATATTCATTTAAACCCTTCTTGCTCCTTGGCTCAAAGGGAAGTATTACCGTGAAGCACTGGTTTCGTTCAGTGTCTGAGCCTGTGTTAGATACCAAACCAAACTTCAAACTGCAAACTTCAAATCACTGTACCAAGTGGGTGGGATGTGTATTCGTCGCTTTCATATCTATCGATATTCTGCAAAAGCTATCAGTTGCTAAACACAACCGGATGTTCGACGATAACGATCTGGTACATGAAGACCCCTTGTCGAGACCTAAGTACGAACAGGCCTCAACTCTATTGATTGCCAGGCGACTAAATTGGACGGGGTTGTTAGGATCGATAACAAGCTTGACTGCGGGTCATCCTAACCTGACTGCCTGGAGCGATGCTCATGATATCATCCCTGGTTTACCTGAACAGAGCGCCGTGGCAATTGATGCATGCTTCTAAGAGTTGAGGAAAACAACAAACAAATATCTGTAACCCTGTACGACGTGATGTGAGGGTGTTGGTGAATAAGACGAAATTAACTAGATGGGCGGATCCAGGAATTTTTAAAGGGGGTGGTGGTGGTGTGTGTGTGTGTGGTGGGGGGTGGTGTGTTCGAACCCCCAGAACCCCCCATTTGCTCCGCCAACGCAAAAAAAATCTTCAATGTGGTCCTAAGTCATTCAAAAGGTGGAGGGGTCGAACCCCCTGGACCCCACCTCTGGATCCGCCAATGAACTACACAATTTACTGGGCAGTGTGCTATTAAATTTGCTTTCATTGTGAACAAGCAACTGAACGCCTGTATTTCTGAACCACCCAAGCACGCCTCAGGCAGGTTTTAGCTGCATCAGGACATCAGTGATGTCCTTTCCATTTGAAACAACAAAACCGACAACATTTCAATTTGTTATGGGCATAGGATGCCGTGAAACCGTTAGGTCATTGATGAAGTTTCAGGTTCAACATTTGGCTCAAAGAAAATAGGGAGCGTGGTTGTCTATAGGTTGAAGTGTTTGCTCATGACACGTAAAATCATAGCTCAGTACCTACATACAGTGTAGCCTCTCACTGATGTCCTACAGGGGGGACTTTCTGTACTAATACTAAACGGCGTAAAACAATATTACATTGTTAAACCAGGTTGCATGGTCTTATGATCTTTACATGACTATATCATTAACATTACCTCAGTTTATTTATTTATTCTTTCATCCATCCATCCATCCATCCATCATCTATCCATCATTCATTCGTTCGTTCGTTCGTTCATGTATGTATGTATGTATGTATGTATGTATGTATGTATGTATGTATGTATGTATGTATGTATGTATGTATGTATGTATTTATTTATTTATTTATTATTTATGGGGGTGTAATGGAAATATCTCCAAGTCAATGCTGACTTTTCAGTAGGAAGGGGTATGACAGATCGGGCAGTACGTCAATGAACTGGCTAACTTCCTAGTACTCCCCAACGTTAGTACGTGTATGTACGTTGTATGTAAGATGAAAGGCTGTCCCTCTATCGCTGTGTACACTGAACCCCCATCAGTAGCTAGGGACAATTTAAACACAATTATCCACACAAGTGACTTATCAGTTGCGGAATGCTAGGTAAAAGATTTGAGGAGACACGGGCGAGCTTGACCTTTGATGTAAAAAGGCCGCAGTGTTTGTTGGGTCCTCCACAATGTCGCCTGTTATCGCAAGCAAACGATAAGAGGATTATCACAGATATTCGTCCTGCACTCGGTTACCTAACTGCCAGCAGCCATATCCACCGGAGTTGTCTCCCTTATCATCACTATAGTCGTCGTCATCATCATCATCATCATCATCATCATCATCATCATCATCACCACCACTGCCAGCACCACCAGCAGCAGCATCGTCATCATTCAACGCCATCAACAAAATCATCCTAGCGATCAGACTCATGTCCATTAGTATCACAATATCTCTCTCTCTATCATCATCACATCATTATGATGTTAGTTTTCAAAATAGGACGTCAGTACACCTTTATACCTAAAATGGAAAAAATAATAACCCAAAATTATTACAACTAGCCTATACGTACAATACTAACGTATTGATTACTGGTACAGAATAGCTGTGTTGATGGCTTAGGCACAGTATAATCAGGGACAATGGTGTCTCTGTCATCTGAGAAACCACAGTGGCAGAATCCAGTAGTTTGAGTTCGAATCCAACGTTCATGGCTTTCATCAAGTAAGTGTTCGGAGATTGGGGACACGAAACTGAAATGTTCAACATTAAAACACCGTTGGGTCGAAGTTGAAGGAACCTACATGAATACTTCGAGATATCCGAAGTTCGACGGAATCGAAAATTGATGAATGAAAAAGGAATATGCAGGGGTGAAGCGTTTACTTCGACATAACCGTGTTTGACTGTCTTCTCACTCACTTGACGTACACTTGTGACAAACACTAGGAGTTTATATTTCAGCCAAATGCATGTTATAAATGCCAGTTTCAACACAGTACGCCACTGACTGGCATGGTCGTGTGGATGTCTCATTGTCTAACTAGACCCTGTCAACTATGAGATACGGACTGCGAGGTAGCCGAGTGATGGAATCGCTACTCGTCACGCTAAACATTCGGCTTCGATTACCCACAGTGCTACAATACATGAAGCCAATTTTTGGTTGGTTTCGCTCGCCGTGATAGTAGATGAATATCGATTATAGGAGTACAGTCCCTCTCATACACTCAATATGATAACATCACTTGCTGTCAGACAAACCCTTCACAACGACGGGTGGTAAGGTAGACCAGTGATTAAAGCGTTCGCTCGTCACATTGTTCGATTCCCAACAGGGGGGACAATGTACCAAGTCCATTACTAGTGTACCCCGCCGTGATATTGATAAACACAGCGTTGATCCATATTCATTATACAGCTGATATGTCTATCACTATTATTACGTCATCTAAGGTGAAATGATTGACAGGTGAGATTAAGCGTCCCATGTGGTGTTTTGAGAATGACTCATTTCAATCGTTGAGGCAGAAATATATCTTTGCTAATGTGATTACACTTAAACTTAAACATGTTTCATAAAGTTATATTTGATAAGTGACCCGAAGAAAAAACTCATTAAATGTCGAACACACCTTGAAGCCAATTTCTGATGTCCACCGCCGTGATATTGCTGGAATATTGCTAAAAGCGGCGTAAAACTAAACTCACTCTCTCCAACAGACCTATTGACCTCCTTGGGCGATCTGATATTTTATTGCAATCTGACAATTTGGAATTAAAGTGTAAACGTTTTAAATACTAATCCACAATTTCCTCGGTGCAATGATACGTTATTTCAACGGCATTCAGGCTTAAAGATGCTGTTGATGTTGCAACGTGATACGACGTACAAAGTGTTGCCATCGTCACAGACGATGTAAACGCACTGACATACAAGCCCTTACCAGGTTTTCCTTTTCCCCGATCTCAGAAGACAGTTTCGCACTTTACTCTGCAAATTCTAGAAATTGAAAAAAACAAGGTGTCAAATTGTCTTTTCTCGGGTATTTCGGGTTTGGAGTGCCTCTGTCCCAATTGACAGCCGTAGTTTAACAAAGGTAGAGATTCCGTCACATTGCATGACTTATCCGCCCATTCCACAAACACGATTTGGTCAGCTGTCTGAAAATCCTGCATTTTAGCGTCAAAACACCATTTCTGCTGGAAATATCCCGCAAAATAACTGCAAAGGTCGTCACCTCTGGATACGAAAAAACTCGCCGTTTTTCTGTCTTATCCAAATACCTGTCAGTCAATAGAAATTTCTCTCAAATCTTTGAACACAGATCAGTAAGTTCTCGTTCAGGCGAGAAGAGACGAGTTTAGACCAGTTCAACAGAAGAGCCGAATCGTGTAAATAGTCTTTGTGTTGTCAGCAAAGGCATTGGTAAATACAAATCTTTGAGTAAAGTTGTTTTCCCCAAGGACTAACTAGACGGCCAAACAGACATTTCGCCTTTTTAAATATTAGCAAGCGATGGAGACTCCGTTAGCTGTTTTCTTTGTATGGGGAACTCTCGTGGCATTCTGTCAGGTTTTTCCGTGAAAATATGGTGGTGATGAACCTATCAATCCCACAATGCTTGGCGCGTTGTCAGTTGGGCGCCATCTTGAGAGCGTATAAATGATTGGTGGTACGCTCATTTAAATCGAATGTTCACTGTTTCTCCAATTTTGCGATGTTGATTTTCTCTTTGTAAGGTGGTTTTAGGAAGAGTGAAGAGAAATACGTTTTTCCGTTAGCAAACATAGGTTTTTGTGTCTATTTTGGAAAGGGAATATTTTTTTCAGGCAAGCCATCTACGAGCGATGTATGAATTGTTTGCAATGTTAGTACTGACAGATAAGTGCTTTGTCTATTATAAGTGTATTTTACACTGGGACCCGGCCACGTTGACGTGTTGTACCTCATAGTACCAAAGTACCAAACAATGCAGTACTCGCCTGATTTCGCGGCTCTGTTGTTACAGAAAATGCATTTTCAAAGATGGTTGCGACGCAACGTCATAGACCTTCGGTTAGGCACAGTATAATCAGGGACAATGGTGTCTCTGTCATCTGAGAAACCACAGTGGCAGAATCCAGTAGTTTGAGTTCGAATCCAACGTTCATGGCTTTCATCAATGCGGTAATCGTCTGGGTCATGAGTTTGGGTTATCCTCCCTGTTTAAGCTGACACACCTTGATGGAACTAAACCTTGTGTGGAGCACAGTGGTGTAGTGGTTAGCATGCTGGCCTCTCACGCCAAAGGCCCGGGTTCGAATCCCGATGGAGACACCAAAATTTGTGACCTGGGTCTCATGCTGTGTTGTGTCCTTGGGCAAGGCACTTCGTCCACAATGCACTCAGTCTACCCAGCTGTTCAAATGGGTACCTGAGAAGCGGGTGTACGGTCCTATAGCAGCTTTGAATGTACAATTCCGTCAGGGTAATAAAGTAACGCCAGAGATCAGCATCGTGCTGGATTCTAGGTGCAAAAAATAGCATTATTATTATTATTATTATTATTAAACCCAGACGGGAGGAAGATACTCACGATCTGGAGATTCAAGACAGCTAAAGTTTCTTAAAGAGTGTATGTGTCATTACAGATATAAACTGCAAATGGAAACATAGTATATATCTGAAACGTAAGTTTGACATTAATATTTAACGTTGTGAAAAACACCCACCCTGTGATACCCACATTAAATACAACACTGTTAAATAACCATTTCTTGTTTGATGAATTTTAGTCACCATCAATATCAGTCATGGGAGCATGCATCTTTCCCTTGGTATATGATGGGTTCCTTCTCTCTTGTATCAGATTTATACGCAGGATCAACAACTCTCTGGTTTGATTCTGTAGACAAGGTGAAGCCATACGTAGGATCACCAATCTTTCTCCCGTATTAGGGGTCTGACTCTGTGAGCAAGGTGAAGCCACACGTAGGAGGATCACCAATCTTCCTCCCGTATAAGGGGTCTGAATCTGTGAGCAAGGTGGGGCCGTACGTAGGATCAGTTAGACTAACACCTAGTCTCTGAAATGAACATATTTTACTGAAAAAGTGCATAGTAAAAAAAATATATATATTGAAAAGGAGCCCTGAGACTTTCTTCATTTTCCTGAAGCTAAGGAAATCTAGACTTGCCACATTTTCTAGACTTGCGTGGGCTTTCTTGGATATATTTACTTCAGGGTCGGTACGACAGACTAAGGATCAGTGTGCGGAACAGTTTCCAAATTTTGCTAGTCAGTCGGGCTAGCCATGCCTGAAAGTTACTAGACCATAAAATTATTCACTAGCCCGAAATTTGAATGTAGAAACCAAGCAAATGATTACAAAAAGGTAAAATACCATCAAAACCAAATACGAAAACACATGTCTGAATTTCTGAAATATTTTGTTTATGCTCAAATAAATGAAATAAGTCAGAGAGAGTGATATATTTACAAAATAAGCCCATGAATATTCACTAGCCAATCGGGCCAGTGACTGTGGAAATTTACTGGTCCGACTGGATTTTAACTAGCCACGGGCTAGCGGGCCAGTGGCTATTTCGGACACTGCGTAGGATCAACAGTCTCTCTACTGGATAAGGGGTCCGTACGTAAGCAAGGTGAGGATTACGAAGGTTAAACAATCTTTCTTCTGTATAATGGGTTTGATTATAGACAAGGTGATTTAGCTGAAAACATGAAGCGTGCTCTAGAAATTTAACGTAACAGAACTGTTCACAGATTTTGCGAAACAGACACGAAGAACAACCTTTGATATTTCAAGGTGGTATAAACAGTGTTTGTTTTATCAGTTTCTCACTGGAACTTACCACAAGTGATGGCCAATTCTAGGAGATATGGCAACCGAGTGTACCCACACATTACAGCATGTCAAGTTTCAGTTTCTTTACAGGTGATATTTTCCAACAAAAACAAATATAGATTTTCTATGACACAGTGTCACAGTGATACGACAAAGGCAGTCAGCACATCACCTTGATGTAATGACCCCACACTAGTCACCTCTCCACACAACTTCCACTCTTTCACACCAGGAGGCCCGTTTCACAAAGCTATCGTAGCGCTACGACTGTCGTATGTTACAGTATAGGTGTTACGAATGCTACGAGAAAAGTTACGACATCTTAGGCTTACGAGAGCTTAGTGAAACGGGTCCCTGGCCCGTATGTGGAAGAAAACAAATACAATAGTCTATATGTATATATTTTAGTATACTCTCTCCAACAGTTTTAGTTAGTGGTGGTCCGATTAATTGAAATAATCGAAGATTGGTCGCAGTGACCAAACGCCCAAGCAATCGATCACATTTTCCCATAATCGAACATAAACGATTTTGGAACTACTGTTGTAGTCTTTGAAATACTTGACAATGGAACATATCGTAGAAGTTGTCAGGGCCTGCAAACGTGTGTAATTCTTAGAAAACTCACTTCACTAACTGAAAAGCCATGACTGAATATATTTTTTGAAGTTTATGTTCATGATATATTAGCCATCACTTTAAAGTAGCAAGTTGATTCATGTTATACATATCTGCAATAGCGTAAGGTAGTCGTAAGTGCCATTCATGAACATTAACTTACGACTATCTTAGCGCTAAGAGAGCTTCGAAAATCTAGGCCCTGGATAGGAAAATCTGAAAAATGACGCTAACCAATTTTTTTCGATGATTGTTCGTTGGTAATGAAGCAAACATCAATTGTGAGATTTCAACCAATTCCCAACAGTAGTTTTAGTACACCGAGGATGTTACAGTTTTAAAGGACAAAGACTGTATCAATTGTAACACATAAGGGTGTGAGAGTTGTAACGCACTAGGTATGTCCGTGTTTATCACACATAAAACACACCAAGTGTGTGACTGTTCACCATATCCTCATGTACAGTTCATGTTTGGGCACAGGTAGCTGCATTACATAAATATAGTTTAAGTATAATAGTCACACTAGTTGAACCACATGGACTCAGTACATTACCTTGCAGTACATGTGTTAGAGTCACATTACGTGTAGCTCATATAGTGACAGTGCGTTGAAATACAGCGAATATGGATATAGTATGCAAGTGCAGCGCATATAGTTACAGTACGCATACTTACTGCGCATATAGTGACAGTGCGTTGAAATACAGCGAATATGGATACAGTATGCAAGTGCAGCGCATATAGTTACAGTACGCATACTTACTGCGCATATAGTGACAGTACGTTGTACTATAGCGCATATAATTATAGTCCGTAGAATTACAGCGCATGTATGTGAGGTGAGGTGAAATTGGGTTTTACGTCGTGCTTGAGAATATTTCGCTCATATGACGACGTGCATGCGTGTGTATGTGTATGTGTGGCTGCTTGTACTAGCCCAGACTGGAGCTGGCTTTATAGTGCTAGCCCACTGAGATACCATGCCGCAGTGAAGCATGAATACCCCACTCAGACACATTATGCTGACTCCGAGCCGACCAGTCCTTGTTGTACCCATTAATGCCGAGCGCCAGGCAGGGACCAACAAGTACCATATTTTAACGTCTTTTGGTATGACGCGCGACCTTCCGCTCTCCGGGCGGACGCTCTAACCACTACACCACGGAGGACAGCGCATATAGCGCATGTAGTGACAGTGCGTAGAATTACAGCCTATATAGTTACAGTACTCTGAATTACGTTAAATTACGCTGCATATAATTACAGTAGATAATTAACGTGACAGCTCATATGGTTTCAATCGTTCTTGTCCCACTCCACAAGTTCCACCAGGCCAAGCCACCTCTGACATTGTACGAAATCCAAATGACCAGACCCCTGAATACCGTTGCCGTTTGTCAACAGGTGACCAGAACCCGTAAGTCCACGTGGAAGTCAACAACAACACAACAGAGAATTCACATTCCCTTCAATCCACATTATAATGTTTACTAGTGTTTACCAGAGCTAATTTCATAGAACCCTGCACATACATGGCGAACACTGAACAGTCATTGAGCCGAGCTCATCAAGAAAGACAGCAGATTCTCAAAATTTTGAGAAAAGCCAATTGAATGACGTTTTTGTTTGGAAACACGTCCTGGAGTTTGTATCCAACTGACAAAGAACGAGCTGCCTAAACATTTGATGGGATTTCCAAAGATTTAGGTTCATCCTCGCAGCCTTGGTAGCATCGTCCGATAGCTTCTGTTATCATATGATGCTTGTTTAGATTCTAGTTTTAGAGATTATGTCAACAAAACGACTGGCCCGCTAAGTCGTTGCTTTCTGAGTTTTAACGGTGGGTCGTACGTCCCAGCCGGGCCGTAGAGTCTGATTTACCTCTAAGTATTGCGTCAATATTTAACGTTAAGGTCGAATCAACACAACATGTTTGTCAGCAAACCTTTTTCTTAAGCTAGCGCCGTCGTGCGTGTTTGCAAAGAGGCGTGAAGGGAAGACGTCTACACACCAGGACAGGGTTTTTTAGACGTCGGGCATTAGACCTGTCATCATAATTACGCTTGCTTCGGACTCGAGGTTCGCGGGATAGCAGTAACTCTTTAATTTCAAAGGTGTCGGCGGCAAGGTTTGAACGCGGGCGAGTTAACGCCGAGGTTGTTGGCTATGCTCATCGCCGACAGGTTTCTGGAGAGGCAACTGTACTCAATATATGCTGTAGCATATATTGTTGCTTGTTATACACGACTTTGGTTGAAAATATACTGAACTTCAAAAGTAACGTTACACCGATAGAGGTTTCTTAATGCACAACTTTAATTCGCTCCTATTAACGGTGGATTGAGTTCAAACTTGACAATGATGGTTAACACATTTTTTTAACCACATTTAGAGTTCACATAAACAAAATCACCAAAGCTGGTTCCATTAGGATACCTCAAAGTCAGTATCAGGTCTGTACATGGAATGAATAACCGGTTGATGAAGGCACTTGATACCATACTCTGCGAAATGCCTGATCGAGTCCAGCCGCATTGAGTGCAGGTCATTGTAGGGTTTGGATTCCATGTTGTCTTAGGAAATCCAATGCTGCTCTGGCAGTGTAGGCACGAGCGTTGTCTGTCTGGAAGAAGTGATTTCTGTGACGTCCAAAATGTGGTACAACGTGGGATCTTATGACTTGGTCAATTAGCGAGCAGCCATCACGCCATTTCCTCATCCTTGACCGAGATTCTGGAACACCACGGGGCCAACTCTCTGGTTCAGACCGATTGCTCCCCGTACCATGATGCTTGGACCACCCCACGAGTCTTTTAACAGTACGCATTGGAAAACCGTTCCCCACGCCTTCACCATACTCTCACTCTGCCATCGACTGTCGAAACACAATATCGGCTTTCATCTGAAAAGAGCACAGTTCTCCATTGTCGATAACGCCAATTTCGATACTAAGTTGCCCATTGCAGTCAGTTTTGGCGGTTACGAGCGGTGAGGACAGGACCACGACATGGTCTGTGACAGCAGAGGTTTCTTCCGCGTAAACGTCGACGCACTGTATCGACACTGATGGGTCTGTTGTGAGTCCCAATGGTCTGGCGTGTTGTTTCCGTCGCTCTGATGAAGCGATCCTGCAGATGGTTGCACACAATCTGTCGGTCTTGACGTTGTGATGTTACTGAAGGTCGTCCACTGCGTGGACGGTCATGGATGTTCTTAGTCACCTGATTGGCTACCCTCCGTGAAGTCTGGACCAAATTGCAAAATATTTGCCCCAAGGACAGATTCCTCTGATCTCTCGTGGCATGGCGATTGTGTCAAAACAAGAATTATTGCAGGCAAGTTTGTTACTCAATTTCACTGGTAGGGTTGTCACGGTATGCACGTGCATTTTCATTTTGACGAATGTCCCCTTTCACCACGTCTGTCTTTTTGGGTGCGTTTGGTCGATATGCTTTTTCATCAGAAAACACACTGATGTTGGCTATAACTGTCAATTTGGATTGAAAAACATATGAACAAAACGGTACAATTATAATATAAACACGACCCTGTAAGCACAAAATTTTGCATTTGGTTTGGAAGGTGACGTTTCTTTTGCAGTTCAGTTTATATTTTAAGGTTTTAGGGTCAATAAACTTGTGTCGGTCTTGAGGAAGAGCTCATCCGTAACGCTATTTGTTATCATCATCGTCGTCGTCACACACTAGCAGCAGCAGCAGCAGCAGCAGCAGCAGCAGCATCAAAAATAGTTCCAAACTACTGTTTTGTGTCGTCAATGATGATGAATTTAGGTATTTTTTAACAAAAATAATGTCAAAAGGTCGTTGTGTTTCATTTGTCCTGGGTGCTTCGCTTGAAACTAAAGAAACATCTCATTTAATGTGTAATGGTTATCTTACAGACACCCTTTCGACCTTGAACCCATGTGTGAAAGCAACACACCCGTACATATATATATACTAGGCACATAAAGAAACTGTGCATACAAAAATTTAAAATAAAAATTTATCAAACCTGTGTAGACACATAAGGATTTAAACTCAGAGATTAGTGACATGTATCCAACATGCATGGACGTGCCACGTTCCGTGACGTCAGTGGGTTCGTCCTGGAGACGTGCAATACGTTGTTGCACGTGCATTCAGGGAAAGAGAAACAGAGCAAATGAATGCCACACAATACTGTCACTTTGGAAAGCTCAACCCCTGCCCTTGCGATCGTTCAAAAAATTAAACGGGTACTGAAACGCATAGCACGCCAAGGCTCACGTCTGCACAACGTCATGAGGCCATTGGGATGGTCCGTGGGGGAATGTCTCAACGACAAGTGGCTGCACATTTCCACTGCCACCGGAACACCATTTCTGCACTGGTGAGACGCGACCAGAACACAAATGACGTCATCGATCGGCCACGTTCTGGACGTCTACGTGTAACAACGCCAAGACAGTACAGATGGATAAGGGTGACCCATCTTCGCCACAGGTTTCAGACTGCAGTGATGACTGCCCGAACCATCCCAGGACTTCGCCGTATCCACCCCAACACAGTTCGACAACGTTTACGTCATCACGGGATCAGACCACGACGTCCCGCCATACGGCCTATCCTGACACAACGTCATCGACAAGCTCGCCGAATGTGGTGCCGAAATCATGTCCGCAGACCCTTGTTTTGGTGGAGAAATGTTGTTTTTACAGATGAGTCCAGGTTTAACATTTCCCATAGTGATGGACGTCAACGTGCCTATAGACGCGTTGGAGAACTTTATGCACAGGCCTGTGTCTTGGAGAGGAATCGCTTTGGTGGTGGTTCCGTGATGATTTGGGGTGGAATAACAGCACGCCAAAGAACTCCTTTGGTGATTGTTCAGGGCAACTTAACTGGTGTGGGCTACAGGGATCAGATTCTTCGACCTGTGGCAATTCCTTTTCTGCAACGTCATGGGCCTGGGTTAACATTCCAACAGGACAATGCCCGCCCTCATACGTCAAGGGTTGCTATGGATTTCTTGCAACACCACAACGTTGACTTACTGCCTTGGCCTGGAAATTCACCGGATCTCTCCCCGATAGAGCATGTTTGGGACGAGATGGATCGACGTCTACGCCGTCTTCCTCATCCGCCAGATAACGTCCTTGACCTTGCAACAGAGAATCTGGCGTGACATCCCACAAGCCTTCCTTGCACGTTTGATAGGCTCTATGCGTCGTCGATGCACTGCTGTTCTCAATGCCGATGGTGGACATACCCGTTATTGAGCTTGTGACATGGTTGTTTGACCCCTGTCCCGCTTGTGGACTCGTGACGTCATTGTGATTGACTTTTCAATTGAAATTCTCCCGACTTGATAAGGTCTCATGATCCCTCCATTAAAGTTTATATGTACCTTTGACATTGTTATCGTACTTATCAACTGGGATAATATTTTGACAATGCACAGTTTCTTTATGTGGCTAGTATATATATATATATATATATATATATAAAGATATATATATATATATATATATATATATATATATATATATATATATATATAAAGAAATTGATGAAAATACCGACACGGATCTTCTCCAACATGTTTCACTTTTATCTTCAGGGAGAAGTGATTACAGTTAAACGGATTATGTTATGACGTCACTTTGTCATGACATCACAATGCAACTGTATGCAAATGTTGTGACGCGGCGTATATACATATATATATTACATAGATAAATAAAAACAGAATGCCTTTTTCTCCAACATGTTTCGTTCTTTACTCTTCTGGGAGATATATATAACCCGGTTGCATTAAAGTAACAAGTACAAGCTCCTAGTCCATCAAGGGAATCCTGACGAACACCAGTGTATCGTTGCAGTTCGTCACGAAAGAAACGTGGGTGCAATGTGTGAATAACACCATTCTCGGCGTCCCTGTCATGGTGCTAATGGAGCATTATAAATAGAAAAACAGACAAAAAAACGAATTCAAACTCTCCCACACATACACGTCATCAATGTTCAAGGGTGCACGGGTCACGTGAGAACCAACGATTCGTTGTTCGGAGTTGTGTCCCTTGGTGGTATCCATCGGTCAGAAACACGCCCCCTCGCCTGTCACCACACGCGCCGGTTTCGCCACAATAGTAAAAGTAAAGGAAATGTATCAGTTAAGGCTATCATCCAACAATGAGCTGATAAACAAAGTATTATTCAAAGCGACATTGGATATAGAACAAAAACGCAAGAAAATGACCAGTCTCGATGATATGACGAACAACTGGCGTGGATGTTGAAGTCAATATGAATGCGATAACACCAGGTGTTCACAAAAATGGTACACATCATCCTGCCCTACTTGTAGACCCTAACCAACCCTGCCACTCCCCATACACATATTCGCCCATTGTGCTTAATAAGTAGCCATTGGTTTGGTGACTGACGCCCCACAATCAGAGCCCTACCCGTGAAGGTCCGGGTTAGAATATTGATCTTCAGTAACCCATGCTTGTCGTAAGAGGCGACTAACGGGATCGGGTGGTCACGCTCGCTGACTTGGTTGACACATATCATCGGTTCCCAATTGTGCAGATCGATGCCCATGCCGTTGATCGCTGGATTGTCTGGTCCAGACTCGATTATTTACAGACCGCCGCCATATAGCTGGAAATTGCTGAGTGCGGCGTAAAACTAAACTCACTCACACTCACTCAATGAGAACCCTCACACATCCTATATTTGTTGCAATCACCAAGGATTGATTCAAAACGAATCAATGTAACATCAGAGATTATTTGTGTTAGAAAAAAACATTTTCTCAATTTGTTAACACCATTTTATTATGGCGACGAGAAAGATCAACATATCTGAAAAGTAGGTTTATATAACATGAAGTCTCCGCAGTAAAGGTTATTACTTTCGACTTAATACCGACGTTTGGATCTACGCTAACGTGTCACCCTTGCTGTAATAAAGATAGCCATATTCTATTGTCATCAGTTTCATATCACCTTCTTTATGTAACTAAAAAATAATCATCTTCGAGCATTTAATAGACTTGGTTACCCAGCATTATTACGTAAGGACGGACAACCTACATAGTTTCGTTAATTACATGACTGACATATGATAGTGATAGGGAAGTAATCCTCTGACGAGACCGTCGCCCGTTTGTCTCCGATACTGCAGTATCACGGCCGTTCATATTTAATTTAACTGTCATGATGATTCTAGCAATACAACTCGCCCAACTTCATTATCAGCTTAAGAGTACATTTTCATTGCATTAGATCTTGTAGTTTTACTTCTGTAAATATCACAGAGACATTCAGCAATATAACAAGTGTCTACGTCGATAAGCCATAGTTGAAATACGTATTATAAATGGACGTGTGTGATCATTTAATGGGGTTTTGGTATATTATTTCTTATGTCGTCAATGCTTTCGGTTCTGTGCTTGTTCATAAGCTCAGCAATTGCTTTGCGTTACACTACGTCCTCAAGAGTCGTAGCCTTGCGGTGAAAGTGTGGGCTCGGCACGGCAAAGATCCGGGTTCGCTTCCCTACACCTGTGACAAATTGTTAGGGTTGGTATAAATGAAGGTTTTAATGAATTTTAGGTGCTTAGTTCTGCGACAGTATTATTCATTGTGAACCAATGTCGTAACTGTATCGTGTTGTTTCTGCGACAGTGGTGTGGAAACTACGATATTCAAACTTGGAGTCAACTGTAATCTGGAATTTTCCAAAACACTATAGACCAACTTTTTTTCATCAATGTGTCACTATGAAGTAACTATAATTCACAAGGTGACAATATGTGTAACCTGTATTCAGCAACATCTTACTCACTGTGTCACTACGTCTTGACTTAATTCCTCATTGTGCCACTTCATCTTAACTATATTCCTCATTGTGCCACTTCATCTTAACTATATTCCTCATTGTGCCACTTCATCTTAACTATATTCCTCATTGTGCCACTTCATCTTAACTATATTCCTCATTGTGCCACTTCATCTTAACTTTATTCATCACTGTTCCACTACGTCTTAACATTCTTCCTCACTATGTCACTGTGTAGTAACTTCATTGCTCAATGTAACTTATCCCAGGATACAGACTGTCCACACTGTGTCCCTGGATAGAGACTATCCACACTGTGTCCCTGGATACAGACTGTCCACACTGTATCCCTGGATACAGACTATCCACACTGTGTCCCTGGATACAGACTATCCACACTGTGTCCCTGGATACAGACTATCCACACTGACTATCACACACTGTATCCCTGGATATGACTATCCACACTGTATCCCTGGATACAGACTATCCACACTGTATCCCTGGATACAGACTATCCACACTGTATCCCTGGATACAGACTATCCACACTGTATCCCTGGGTACAGACTATCCACACTGTATCCCTGGATACAGACTATCCACACTGTATCCCTGGATACAGACTATCCACACTGTGTCCCTGGATACAGACTATCCACACTCCCTGGATACAGACTATCCACACTGTGTCCCTGGATACAGACTATCCACACTGTGTCCC